ATATCTGGGTGTTAGGATCGTTAGCTCTTACTGTTGCATTGATCCTTTTACCACTATATCTTTGTTGCTTTAAAATCTATTTTATCCGATATGAGAATTGCAACTCCTGCTTTTTATTTATTTATTATTTATTTTTGCTCTCCATTTGGTTGGTAAATCTTTCTCCATCCCTTTGTTTTGAGTCTTTGTGTATCCTTGCATGTGAAACAGGTCTGGATGTAACATGCCATTGGGTTTTGGCTGTGTCTTTTGATTAGGGGATTTAGTCAGTTTAAATTTAGGGTTACTGCCATTTGATGTTGACTGGCTGTTTTATCCATTCGTTGGTGTAAATTCTTCTTTATGGTGATGTTCTTTACTTTTTGGTGTATTTTTAGAAAGGCTAATACTGGTTGTTTCTTTCTGTGTGTAATGCTTCTTTCAGAAGCTCTTGTAAAGCAGGCCTGGTGGTAATAAAATCTCTGAGTTCTTGCTTGTTCATAAAAGATTTTATTTTTCCTTCAGTTGTGAAGTTTAGTTTGGCTGGGTATGAAATTCTGGGCTGAAGGTTCTGTTCTTTGAGGATGTTGAATATTGGCCCCCACTCTCTTCTGGCTTGTAGAGTTTCTGCTGAGAGATCTGCTGTAAGTCTGATTGGCTTGCCTTTGTGGGTAATCTGACCTTTCTCTCTGGCTGCCCTTAGTATCTTCTCCTTCATTTCAACCCTGGTGAATCTAACGATTATGTGCCTTGGGGTTGCTCTTCTTAAGGAATATCTTTGTGGTGTTCTCTGTGTTACCTGGGGTTGAATGTTGACCTGCTTTGCTAGTTTAGGAAAATTTTCCTGAATAATATCCTGAAGGGTATTTTCCAGCTTGGATTCATTCTCTCCATCGCATTCAGGTACACCTATCAAACGTAAATTTGGTCTTTTCACATAGTCCCACATTTCTTGGAGACTTTGCTCATTCCTTTTTATCCTTTTTTCTCTAATCTTTTCTTCAAGTTTTATTTCATTAAGTTGGACTTTGACCTCTGATATCCCTTCTTCTGCTTGAACAATTCGAGTGTTTAAACCTGTGCATACTTCTCAGAGTTCCTGTATTGTATTCTTCAGTTCCATTAATTCACTCATACTCCTCTCTAAGTTGTCTATTCTCAATAGGATTTCATCAAACCTTTTTTCAAAGTTCCTAGTTTCTTTACGTTGGGCTACAACATGGTCTTTTAACTCACCGAAGTTTGTTAATCTCCATTCCTTGAAGAGTGATTCTGTCATCAGGATGCGCTCCTTCTCCATCAAGCCTTGTTCCATTGTTGATGTGGAACTGTGATCATCTTTAGAGGGAGAGGCGTTCTGACTTTGAGTATTCTCAGCTTTTTTATGCTGGTTTCTTCCCGTCATTGTTAATTTATCCTCCTGTTGTCTTTGAAATTACCAACCTTTAGATTAGGTCTCTTGAGTGGACGTCCAGGTTGTTAGTTCCCAGGGCCAGAGCAGCAGCGTTAAAACTGATGGTGCTTTTCTGCCCAGGATTCTCCTGTCTGGCTTCCTTCTTGTGTCCGTAGTAGGTGACTCTGCCTTCCCGGAGCTCCAAACCTCGGTCAGAAGGGGAACTAGTCCCGTTTACTCTGCGCCGAGCGCTGCCTCGCCGAGATGCCGTCACAGCCGCTGCGCGGGGCTCTGGTGTCGTGCTGGGGGCCGTGTGGGTCCCCCACACCTGTTTACTCTGCTCCGAGAGCTGCCACGTGGAGGTGCCAGCGGAATCGCTGCTCCAGCCACAGGAGTCGCGCTGGCCACCCGTGTGTTTCCTCCACTGGGGGATCTTCTGCTCCGTGAGCGACCAGAATTTGTCTGAAAGTGTGGCGTCCTCTAGTTCTCCGCGCCTTCCCTGAGAGCTGCAATCCCGGGATGTTAGCGATTGGCCATCTTCTAATTTGTTTCCAAAATATACATTCTTGTCAATACCACATCACACCTACTCATAGGTTTAAATGAAACATTGATTGGCCATTATTAATACCCATTTTTTTAGAATAAAGCAACATTTCCGTTCTCTCTCCCTCTTTTTCTTCCTCTTCCTTCCTCTCCTTCACTCCTTTTTTTTTTTCCTTCTCTCATAAAAAAGAAAAAGAAATCAACTTGTAGACCTCTAGATCCAGGTCAGCAATGTCTCTCTCATTGCCTGATTTCCTTCCTTCCCTTCTCTCCCTCCCTCCTTCACTCACTCCCTCCCTCCCTCCTTCCCTCCCTTCCTCCCTCCCTTCCTCCTTTTCTCCCTTCCTGCCTTCCTCCCTTCCTAAAAAAAAATTAAAATTAAAATAAAAACCTTTAGTAAAGAGAATTTAAATTTAAAAAAAATTTAGTTCAAGGCAGATGAGGTGGCTCATGTCTGTAGTGGATCGCTTGGGCCCAGGAGTTTGAGACTAGCTTGGGCAACATAGCAAGACCCCGGCTCTACAAAAAAAAAAAAAAAAGAGAGAGAGAAAAATTAGCCGGCTGTGATGGTATGATCGTGTAGTCCCAGCTACTTGGGATGTTGAAGTGGGATCATTTGAGCCCTGGAGGTTGAGGTGGCAGTGAGCCACGATGGTGCCACGGCACTCCAGACAGAGTGAGACTGTCTCCAAAAAAATTGTTTTAGTTCAAGAGAATGGAAACAGGCCAGGCGCGGTGGCTCACGCCTATAATCCCAGCTCTTTGGGAGGCCAAGGCAGGCGGATCATGAGGTCAAGAGATCAAGACCATCCTGGCCAACATGGTGAAACCCCCTCTCTACTAAAAATACAAAAATTAGCTGGGTGTTGCGCCAGTAGTCCCAGCTACTCAGGAGGCTGAGGCAGGAGAACTGCTTGAACCTGGGAGGCGGAGGTTGTAGTGAGCCAAGATCCCACCACTGCACTCCAGCCTGGCGCCTGGTAACAGAGGGAGACTCTGTCTCAAAAAAATAAATAAAAAAAAAAGAGAATAGAAACAATGGTAGTGAAGAAACACAATGTTTTATTTACCCCGAACTTTTTCTCAACAATGAAGAAAATAAACTGGCACAGTGATCGTTCACAAAGGTATTCCGAATAGAAAAAAATCTTTTGGCCGGGTGCAGTGGCTCACACCTATAATCCCAGCACTTTGGGAGGCTGAGGCGGGTGGATCACGAGGTCAAGAGATCGAGACCATCCTGGTCAACATGGTGAAACCCTGTCTCTACTAAAAATACAAAAATTAGCTGGGCATGGTGTTGCGTGCCTGTAGTCCCAGCTACTCGGGAGGCTGAGGCAGGAGAATTGCTTGAACCCAGAAGGCGGAGGTTGCTGTGAGCCGAGATTGTGCCATTGCACTCCAGTCTGGGTAACAACAGCGAAACTCTGTCTCAAAAAAAAAAAAAATCTTTTCTTTTTTTCCATTTATTCTTTTTTTTACAGACTCGTTTAAAACAAGCCATGATTCTCAGCAAAACAGCTCCATCAAGCTTCTCACCAACCTCTCCCTTGGGGCTCAGTCAAGGGCATGAAGAAACGAGGCTAGCCATCTGGCCCCAGTGGAAAAACCGGGAACACACCTGGAAAGCAACTCAGACAAAGGGAGCCAGGCAGGGAAAGCAGCAATTGGAGAGGAGACCGTGCTTCCAGTCTGTTGCTGGTTTACAAGGTAAATCTATTCCAGGAGGAAAGGGGTACAACACGAAAACCCAGGACAGGCTGCGCCAGGCCCGACGTCTTTCAGGCCCAGCTCCCAGCGTAGACGCCCTTCCTTCCAAGATATTTCCTAGCAGGTACTGCCCCATTTGACTGGAGTGAGCTGCCTGAGATTGCCAAGCGTCCTGTGCGTGTCTCATTAACACATTTTTTATTCATGATTTTACTATTTTGTGGGGGCGGTAGAGGGACGGTGTCTCACTCACTCTGTTGCCCAGGCTGGAGTGCAGTGGCACAATCTCAGCTTATGCAACCTCCGCCTCCCAGTTCAAGCGATTCTTCTGCCTCAGCCTCCTGAGTAGCTGGAATTATAGATGCACACCGCCACGGCCGGCTAATTTTTGTATTTGTGGTACAGATGCCATTTCACCACATTGGCCAGGCTGGTCTCGAATTCCCGACCTCAGGTGATCGATCCATCCACCTCGGCCGTCCAAAGTGTTAGGATTACAGGCTTGAGCCATGGTACCTGGCCTCATGAATTTATTCTTATTGAGCACCTAACATGCTCTAAGCATCGGGGACGAAAAAGCAAATGAGCCATAACATCACTTAACACACAGCATTTATTTGCACGGGTGTTGGCTTTCTAGCCCTCCAGCAACTGCTTCTAGGAAGGGGCAGTCTTGCGTTTTTTTGCATCCTCGGAGTCTAGCACAGTACCTGACACTGACTAGGTGCTTTGTTAACAAAGGAACAACTTTAAAGCGTATTTTTGATAAGAGGCTTGGTTCTTGGGCCGGGCGCGGTGGCTCACGCCTATAATCCCAGCACTTTGGGAGGCCGAGGTGGGTGGATTACGAGTCAAGAGATCGAGACCATCCTGGTCAACATGGTGAAACCCCGTCTCTATTAAAAATACAAAAAATTAGCTGGGCATGCTGGCGCATGCCTGTAATCCCACCTACTCAGGAGGCTGAGGCTGGAGAATTGCCTGAACCCAGGAGGCAGAGGTTACGGTGAACCGAGATGGCGCCATTGCACTCCAGCCTGGGTAACAAGAGTGAAACTCCGTCTCAAAAAAAAAAAAAAAAAAAAAAAAAAAGAGGCTTGGTTCTCAAACCTGTAGCCCTACATGGGGTAGGGGAGGCGGGAGAACGGGTGGGCAGGCAGACCCGAGGAGCATGGGAAAGGTGTCTGTATTGGGAGTGCTCACAGCAATCCACAGTTTCCCTGTGTTCCTCGTTCTCAAACAAGAGTAGGGGAGTCGAGGGCGGGATGGGGCAAGTCTCCCTTCTCCCCGCGCGCAGGAGGGCTGGGTTTGGGGGCCCCAGCCGGGGATTTTCACTACGCTCTACAGACCGCTGCGCACCCGCGCCGCTCACCAGGTCAATAGCCACGACGTCCCGCAGAGCCACGACACGCCGGATGGATTTCGGCGGGTTCTCGGTCAGGTAGATGAACCGGTCACTGAGCACCACGTACTTGAGGGTGTGGTTCTCCGAGTTGGACACCACTATGCAGCGATCGCAGGCTCGGACGGCGTCGTAGACCTCCGGCTGCAAATGCCGCCGCAGGAACACATCCAGGCGGCTGTTAGTGCGCGCCGGGAAGCCTGACCGCAAGAGGCTGGCCATGCGCGGCGCCCGCAGCCAGGCGGAGTGTAGGGGCGCGGGGACCTCTGTTCCCCCGCTCTCCCCTCCCCCGCGCTGGAACCCGCGCGCCACAAAGCCGCCAGTCTCGCGTCGTCTCATCTCCCGGGCGCTGGGAGCGGCCCGCAACTGAAGAAATCGACCCCTGGTCGGCTTCCCTGGAGCGCCCTCCCCTCCGCTGTCTCGCCTTTGTCCTAATCTCAGACAGCGATGGGCGGGGCACGGGGCTGGTCCTTCAGGCCCTAGTTGATGGGCACCTCGGGCTAATCACCGTGAAGTCCCCGGCGGCTGAAGGGCCGTGGATTTTTAGGGTCTCTCCCTCCCAACCTTTATACCAGTCCCCATGACTGCCTACTCTATTGCGGATCACACCATCCCATACAAACGTTATTGGTAATGGAACCTAGTTTCAATCTGGTTTCCTGTTAGAAACTTCAAAGAGTTGAACTTACCGATTTATTTTTAACTACCCTAGAAACCTATTAAGACCAATCACACAGATTTAACTTTTGATTATAACATGGCCTGGCACAACTTTCTGATTTTGTCGGAGTGTAAACTAAGTCTTCTTTCTCCAACCAGCGAGAATGGGATTTTTTTTTTTAAGACAGAGGGTCTCTCTGTTGCCAGGCTGGAGTGCAGTGGTGCCACCTTGGCTCACTGCAGCCTCCGGCTCCCGAGTAGCTGGGACTACAGGCGCGCGCCACCACACCCAGCTAATTTTTTGTATTTTTAGTAGAGACGGGGTTTCACCATGTTGGCCAGGATGGTCTCGATCCCTTGACTGCGTGATCCGCCCGCCCTGGCCTCCCAAAGTGCTGGGATTACAGGCGTGAGCTACAGCACCTGGCCTTTTTGTTTTTTGAGATGGAGTCTCACTCCTGTCGCGCAGGCTGGAGTGCAGTGGAGCAATCTCTGCTACTGCAACCTCCACCTTCCGGGTTCAAGAGATTTTCCTTCCTCAGCCTCCCAAGTAGCTGGGACTACAGGTGTGTACTACCACGACTGGCTAATTTTTGTATTTTTAGTAGAGACAGGGCTTCACCATGTTGGCCAGGCTGGTCTCAAACTCCTGACCTCAGGTGATCCGCCCGCCTCGGCCTCCGAAAGCACTGGGATTATAGGCATGAGCCACCACGCCCAGCCTGCCCAGGGCAATCTATGCAGGAAGAATGAATGGGTGAGGTTGGCATCTTGAAAAGTTGAAGCTGACAGACTGAAGAATGCTGATTACATAGCCCTGAGGCTGCAGAGGAGTAAGTACTCCTTAGTTTTTACAGGCCAAGAATAATGTATATATTAGGTCAGAGAGGGCCAGGCACTGTGGTTCATGCCTGTAATCCCAGGGCTTTGGGAGGCTGAGGTGGGTGGATCATGAGGTCAGGAGTTCAAGACCAGCCTGACCAACCTGGTGAAACCTCGTTTCTAATAAAAATACAAAAATTAGCCAGGCATGGTGGCACATGCCTATAATCCCAGCTACTCAGGTGACTGAGGCTGGACGGTTGCTTGAACCTGGGAGGTGGAGGTTGCAGTGAGCCAAGATTGAGCCACTGCACTCCATCCTGGGTGACAGAGCTAGGCTCCATCTCACACACAAAAAAATTTAGTCAGAGAGATGAGAAAGGCACAACAGAAATGCCCTAAGCCAGAAGTTCCATTTTATTTCGAATCCTAGGAAAGTTAATCTCTTCCCCTCCCCATTGACCCAAAATCCTGATAATGAAACCATATCACTCATTGCTGTGGCTGCCTGCAACCCTGAATCAAATTTAATATTCTTTATATTCTCCTTTATATTCTCAGTATACATACTTACTATTGTATACTGTATGTTATAAGCAACTTTAAATTGCTTGTGGAAAGAGGGTATAAATATATTACAATCCATAAACAGATATTGTAGACTACAGGGGTACAAAGGGAAAGAGAAATGTTTGAGTCTGGCTAAACTTTATTTATTTATTTATTTTGAGACAGTCTCCCTCTGTCACCCAGGAGCCTCAGCCTCCTGGGTTCAAACCATTCTCTGGCCTCACCCAAATAGCTTAGACTACAGGTGTGCGCCACCATGCCCGGCTAATTGTGTGTGTGTGTGTGTGTGTGTGTGTGTGTGTTTAGTAGAGACAGGATTTCACTATGTCGGCCATAGCTGGTCTCCTGATCTCAAGTGATCCACCCACCTCAACCTACCAAAGTGCTAGGATTACAGGCATGAGCCACCACCCCTGTTAGGGTCTGGTTAGACTTAAGTCCAAGATCACTCAAGTGAGTAAAGAGAAGTGCCATCTGCTGGCAAAATCTTAAATGACCGAGTATTTAAAGTTTTTTTAGGATCTCATCACACATCTGAGCCTTCCTCATAACTGGATGAAAAATGCATGAATTACACCATCCCTAGCAACCTTTATTGATAAAAGCTGCCACATGGCTATTTCCTCCAAAATAAAGACTATTCATTATCTAAACTACTCTAAATAGAGTTTGTTGCTTCAAACCAACAGACAGGCAAAGGCTCTTCACCTCTACTGAATAGCCACACCTCACAAAAGCAGTTGAGAGGCGAATGACTACAATGTCATCAGAGGTGGAGAGTCAGGCTCACATAGGAGAAAAGGCCTTACCCTAGGCTGCTATTTTGTGTCTCTCAGGCTTCCTACCTCATACCTACTTCCCAGGACTAAGAGAAACAGTACGACTGGATGAGGGCCAAAAAATACTGCCAAGAAGCCCATCTTTTTTTTTTTTTTTTTTTGAGATGAAGTTTCACTCTTGTTACCCAGGCTGGAGTGCAATGGCGCGATCTCGGCTCAGTGCAACCTCCGCCTCCTGGATTCAAGTAATTCTCCTGCCTCAGCCTCCTGAGTAGGTGGGATTACAGGCACGGGCCACCATGCCCAGCTAATTTTTTTGTATTTTTAGTAGAGACGGGGTTTCACCATGTTGACCAGGATGGTCTCGATCTGTTGACCTCGTGATCCAGCCGCCTCAGCCTCCCAAAGTGCTGGGATTACAGGCATGAGCCACCGAACCCGGTCCCAAGAAGCCCATCTTGAATAAGCTTTTGGTAACAAGTGCACTAAGCTTAGCAAACATTAAAATGAAGCACAGGTGGTGGCTCACGCCTTTAATCCCAGCACTTTGGGAAGCTGAAGCAGATGGATCACTTGAGGTCAGGAGTTTGAGACCAGCTTGGCCAATATAGTGAAAACCCATCTCTACTAAAAATACAAAAAATTAGGAGGGTGTGATGGCACATGCTTGTTATTCCAGCTACTTGGGAGGCTAAGGTAGGAGAATCGCTTGTACCCGGAGTTAAAAGCTGCGGTGAGCTGTGATCCCCTACTGCACTCCAGCCTGGGCAACAGAGCGAGACTCTGTATCAAAAATTTAAAAATAAAGAAAGAAATGAAACGAAGCACAGAAAGAAGGGAATTTGACTGGGAGACTGGTGGTTAAGGTCATTTCAGTTTAACTAACTTTGTGGCACACAGAGAAGGCAGTAGATGGTTTCCAGGCACTGTGCATAGCAGTTGCCAAGGTAACTGCAAAATTTCTATTGCAGGAAAGAGAGTTAAATATTTAGGAAAGATCACTAGATTTGGAGTCAGGAGAACTAGATTAGAGTACTAACTCTGTTATCTATCAGACTTTTGGAAAGTCACAACCTTTCCAAGCCTCAGTTTCATTATCTAAAATGTGGGGATCAAATGGGATGAATTATGAACTCTGTGAGCACTATAGACATATGAAGCATTCATAGGGGGTGGGGCGGGGTCAAAAAAAAAAAAAAAAAAAGAAGCAGCATTCACATTCCCTTATCTTTTGGTAAGCTTTACATCAACCCATGGCCCATGGGCCACATGCAGCCCAGGAAGGCTTTAAATTCATAAACTTCTTAAAACATTATGAGATTTTTTTGCAATTTTTGTTTAGCACATAAACTATCATTAGTGTTAGTGTATATATATATATGTTTTTTTTTTTCTTTAGAGACGGGGTTTCTCCATGTTGTTCAGGTTGGTCTCGAACCCCCGACCTCAGGTAATCTGCCTGCCTTGGCCTCCCAAAGTGCTGAGATTACAGGCATGAGCCACTGTGCCTGGCTAATGTTAGTGTATTTTATATGTGGCCCAAGACAATTCTTCTTCCAGTGTGGCCCAGGGAAGCCAAAAGATTGGATACCCCTGTTTTACATGGTTGATCCAAATGCACCAAAGATAGGTACTCACTCCTTATCTTGTAAGTACATCCAAACTCAAGAAGCATTTGGCAAAGAAAATCCTGCAATCAAGCACTTAATAGATGTTTCTTGATAAAATTATCAAAAGGAATGGGACATTACTTACCTGGACTAATCCTCAAAGGCAGTCTCCTGGATTTTCATCAGAACAGTGGTCTTTGGTCCAGGGATGGTCAATTCAAATAATTTGAAAGGACAGTAGTTTTGAGCATAGAAATGTAGAGCCAGATGACCTGGGCTCAAATTCCAGCTCTGCTATTCAGTAGTTGAATGACATATGCCTCAGTTTCCCCATCTGTGAAATGGGGATAATAGTACCAACCCCCAAAGGGTTACTATGAGGATTTTAAAAGTTTCAAAAGTCCCTAGAAGAGGAACCTGGAATGGAGTTAATGCTATATAAGTGTTTAAATAATAAGTTTGACTGGGCATGGTGGCTCACAACTGTAATCTCAGCACTTTGGGAGGCTGAGGCGGGTAGACCGCATGAGGTCAGGAGTTCAGGACCAGCCTGGGCAACATGGTGAAACCCTGTCTCTACTAAAAATACAAAAATTAGCTGAGCATGGTAACACATGCCTGTAGTCCCAGCCACTGGGGAGGCTGAGACAGGAGAATCACTTGAACCCAAGAAGTGGAGGTTGCAGTAAGCTGAGATCGTGCCACTGCACTCCAGCCTGGGCAAAAGAGCGAAACTGTTTCAAAAAAAACCAGATTTTTGTTCTGATTATGAAAATACTCGATTCTGCTGAGGTGCCCCTGATGAAAAAATAAATAAATAAATAAATAAATAAATAAATAATTTTTTAAAAAGAAAGTAATACATGGTCACTGTGGAGAATATTTTTTTTTTGGACTGCAGTGTCATGGTCTCAGATCACTGCAACCTCCCTCTCCCAGATTCAAGTGATTCTCCTGCCTCTGCCTCCCGAGTAGCTGGGAATACAGGCATGAGCCACCATGCCCGGTAATTTTTGTATTTTTAGAAGAGACGAGGTTTCACTATATTGGCCAGGCTGGCCTTGAACTCCTGAACTCGTGATCCACCTGCCTTGGCCTCCCAAAGTGTTGAGATTACAGGTGTGAGCCACTACACCTGGCTTTTTTTTTTTTTTGACATCTCACTCTGTCGCCCAGGCTGGAGTACAGTGGCAGTATCTCAACTCACTGCAACCTCCACTTCCTGGGTCCAAGCAATTCTCCTGCTTCAGCTTCCTGAGTAGCTGGGACTACAGGCATGTGCCACCATGCTCAGCTAATTTTTTTTTTTGTATTTTTAGTAGAGACAGGGTTTCACTATGTTGGCCAGACTGGTCTCAAACTCCTGCCCCTGTGATCCGCCCACGTTGGCCTTCCAAAGTGCTGGGATTACAGGCATGAGCCACTGCACCTGGCCTCTTTGTTTGTTCTAAAATAATATAAGTTTACAACATTGAAAGAGATTTTTACAATTGTAGGTATTTCAACTATCGTAAAGGAAAGGACCCATGTTACTAGATACACTGTAGATAAACTGAAGATAGGCTTTGTATGACATTTAACATATGAAGTAACCACAAAATGAATTTACAAACAAAACAGCAAGTAAGGACAGCTATAATATAATAGATTGAATTGCCATATTATTTAGGCTGAGGCCCAGAATATGTTGAACATACAGACTGCAGAGGCACTCAGCCCAACATTAGTATTGGGCCTTCATACTCCATAGTTGACCATCATAGCTAACATAAGCATTCATGCAATGATTTATTTATTGAGTTGTAACTAGGAGGCTGGCACTGTGTTAGACTCTGAAGATACATTGAAATAGGTAGGACAGAATTCCTACCCTGAGGTTTTTTTTTTTTTCTTAGAAATATTTAATAGCAACTTGTGAATAGAAGCCATATCTGTGTCTTCAGCAGCAGTGAAATAAGATGGTGGATCCCCTCACCATTAACCCCCAGATCCAGGGGTTATATACCATATGGAAAGGGTATATGTAATTCAGAAGGGATCTGTATTAGTCTGTTCTCACACTGCTACAAAGAACTGCCTGGGACTGGGTAATATATAAAGGAAAGAAATTTAATTCACAGTTCCTCAAGGCTGGGGAGGCCTCAGGAAACAATCACGGCATAATGGGAAGCAAACATTTCTTTCTTCACATGGTGGCAGGAGGGAGAAGAATGAGTGCCCAGTGAAGGGGGAAGCCCCTTATAAAACCACCAGATCTCAAGAGAATTCACTATCATGAGAACAGGATGGGGGAAACACCCCAATTGCAGGTCAAGATAACCAAGAGGAGACCTATGTTAATTCTAGCCAAATAATTAATAGCTTGATTGGCTCACAGTGCACTGAAGTTTGTACACTGAACTAAACTATATTATTGGTGCAGTTAATTAGAAGTCAAGTGGCAACAGGAGGCCTAAGGTAAAGACCATCCGAGAGTGCAGTAACACCAGGGAACACCTCGGGGTGGTTGCAGAGCAGAGAATACTGCTCTGGTCCCACAAATGCCTTCTCAACGTGGAGACTGTATAAGTTGTGAGAGAACACCCATCCCTCTCCACACCTGAAAATTACGTCACCAGAATCTGCACTCAACACACGCCCACTTCTGCACTCTGCACCAGAATCTGCACTCAACACTAAACTCTGCACTTGGCACCTACCCCGCCTACCTACCAATAGCAGCTCACCCTGTCCATGTCCTGTTTCTCCACAGCCAATCAAACGCCTTCACTCCCTATAAAACCCCATGCCCAAGAGGAGTCGAGCAAGACTTCCCTGGCCCCTTTCTCCGGAACCATGGAACCTAGTCTGGGAGTTAAATAAATTGGCATTTAATTTTCTTAAAAAAAAAGAATTCTTAATTTTAAGGGCCTCGTAAAGAGGGCTTATGCAAAGATCTCAGAGAGGGGAGGCAACCTCTGCTCACAAGATCTGGGAGGGTCTTTGCAGATGGGAGCTGGCAAGGAAGACAAAAACCTTGCAGGGCAGAGATCATGGAACACCTCAGGCTCTGCCTAGATTCTCAGAATATGGACTGATTTTAATTGCTCTATGTTCTCAATGCTTGGGAGATAAAAGCCCCTTGGTGCACTGGGTGTGGTCAGACCAGGTGACTCCTAATCCGATATACTTCTGATGTAGCTGCACCCTGATAACAATCCGTGATAGAGTACTAGTTTAGCATGTCTTAGAAGGATCTCAAGTGCTCTCCACCCAGCTATCTTACCTACTCTTTTACCCTTCCTTTCCACTCTCATAAGATCAATGAGATTGTGCACATAATACAAGTGTTTGGAGTCCAAAGCTTGGGGCCAATGCAGTTGCCACGCTTGCATTGGTCCCCTGGACCCATGCTGTAACTTCTACTCTTTTGTCTCTGTCTTTATTTCCTTTTCCCAATCCCTCATCACTGCCAGGACTAAGGGCACCCACATAGGGGGTTGGGCTGGTCCCCAACACCCCATGATTCAATTATCTCCACCTGGTCCCTCTCACGACATAAGGGGATTATGGGAATTCCAATTCAAGATGAGATTTGGGTGAGGAAGTGTAGGACACCTGAAGTACAATACCATCAAGGCTGTTTTGACCTAAGGGAAGGATTTACAGTATGTGCTCTCACATAACTTGAAATCCTACTGGCCTTCTGGGAACAGGGGTTAATCAGAAGCCAACATGGCACACTGGTACCCAAGATGGAGTTTCTTTAGCTTCCAGATTCCACCCATCAATCCAGCTTGAGTCTCACATGCCATCATCTTTGGAGAAGGTCGCTGAGGTTTTAGGGAGGGTGGTTTGATATAGTAAAGCTTCAGCAGCAGTGCCCTGGCAGTGGAAAACCTATTGGACCCGGAGAGATTCCAAATGAGGGAGATTCACAGGCTTTGTTGAATCATCTCTAGTCTTGAGAGTACCGTGACTTTGGTTTTCTCAGAAGTAAAACAAGAGATACATAGCATTAATAATTTGAATAGTAGAAATATAATGCATGTAAGGATTTAAAATTTTTTTTTTTTTTTTTTTCACAGCTGAGCACAGGTTTATTGTGGCACTGGAGGTGAAAGGGGGCCAGTGTTGCCAGCACCAGTGTGCTGTGGTGGTGAAGGGAGTGGGATGCAAGGATAAGGGGGGTGAGGCAGGGCCCAAGGAACCCCAGGCTCGGGCCAGGAGCCAGGGTTAAGGCAACCGTTGCTGGCCCTACCCAGAAATGCCAGGCCATGACTCCAGGCCCCTCAGGCTAGGGGCAGCCATGGCAGCCATGGGCAGAAGGGGCTCATACATGGGAGAAGGCGTGGCTCTTGCAGAGGGGCTTGTCCTTCTTGGAGTAGAAGGTCTTTCCTTCAAGGTTAATCTGACATATCGCACAGACAAAGCACGTGTCATGCCAGCTGAAGCCCAGCGCCTCCAGGAAGCGGTCCCCGGCGTCGATCTTGAAGTCACAGCCACGACATTTCGTGCCAAACATCTTCTCATAGTCTCGCTCGCAGTAGGGCCCTCCTCCATGTAGAAGGCCCTGTTCCGGATGGGCGTCTTGCAGGCGGCGCAGGTGAAGCAGTGGACATACCAGGTCATCTTCAGGGCATGCATGATCTCGCCTGTAATCTTCTTCTTGCACTTGGCGCAGCTGGGTGCGTAGCGCACGTCATAGCACGGTGGGCAGAAGATGGAGCCCTTCTCCTCGAAGAAGCCCCCCTCTTCCAGGACCTTCCCACACTGGCTACACACAAACTCCTCGGGGTGGTATGCCTGACCCAGCGCCACCAGGTAGCGGCCCCGGATGACCTTGTGGCACTGGTGACACACAGGAGTCTTGCTGTTGTTGCCACCCCCTCCTGGGCCCGCTCCCGCGGCCGCCTGCACGATGGAGGTGCGGTTCTGCAGTGGGGTGGGCGTGGCCGGCTGGCTGTGCCGTTTTGTCCGGGGCATAGCGCTCCGCAAATGCAGGGTCCACGGCCCAGGGTGGGCGGCTGGTGGGGCTGGGGGTGGTAGGGCCTGCAGGCCAGGGCTCCTGGGGTGAAGATGAGGCTGGGTCTGGGGCTTCTGTCCTGGGCACCTGGCTTGATTTCTTCAGGTGCTCCTCATCCGGGTCTTGCATGAACTCGGTGCCTGTGAGGTGGGCAAGGATGCGGAAGGAACGCGACTGGCCTGTCCCAGGCCGTGGCCGCCAGTCCTCGGTGTTCTCCATCAGCCGCTGCTTGCTGGCATCTGGGACCAGCGGTCGGAGCGGCTGTCCATTCTGCTGCGGGGCGTTGTCAGCGGGCGGGGGCGCCCCGAAGGGCCGGGCCGTCTTGTTGAGGGAGACGCTGGGTGCAAAGGTGTACCGCGGGGGGTCCGCGGCAGGGGCCGGGGGCCTTCTGGGGTTTGCTCTGAACCGGTTGGGCCCTGCTGAGGCCCAGGCTGAGGCGCTCCCCACAGGCCCGGATCTTGTTCTGAGCTTCGATGTGTGTGAGGCTCCCTGCATTCTCGCCATCGATGCTCAGCACCCAGTCACCAACGGCCACTCCAGCCTGTGCTGCTTTGCCTCCAGGAGTGAGCTGCTTGGCCCCGCCGGGGCGCTGCTCGCTGTCAGGCTCCAGGGAGCCGCATTGGGATCAGCCGCCAGCGATCTCTAAAAATTTTTTTTTAATGGGGTTTCTCCATGATGGCCAGGCTGGTCTTGAACTCCTGACCTCAGGTGATCCACCCACCTCGGCCTCCCAAAGTGTTAGGATTATAGGCGTGAGCCACCATGCACGTAAGGATTACAATCAAAAGAAAATTTGCATGCCAGAACAACAACAAATAACCCATTCCATTAGGAAGCCAACTGAAAGCAATGTGAAGAAAATTAAGGCCTGATACAGGGACTCACACCAGTAATTCCAACACTGTGGGAGGCTGAGGTGGCAGGTTCATTTGAGCCTGGGAGTTAGAGATCAGCCTGGGCAACACAGCAAGTCCCCATCTCTATAAAAACAAACAAAAATAGCCAAGGATGCTGGAGTGCACCTGTAGTCCCAGCTCCTTGGGTGGCTGAGGCAGGAGGATTGCTTGAGCCCAGGAGGTAAATGCTGCAGTGAACTATGACCACTGCACTCCAGACTGGGTAACAGAGCCAGACCCTGTCTCTAAAAAATAAATAAATAAATAGGCCGGGCGCAGTGCCTCACGCCTGTAATCCCAGCACTTTAGGAGACCGAAGCAGGCAGATCATGAGCTCAAGAGACTGAGATCAGCCCGGCCAACATAGTGAAACCTATCTCTACTAAAATACAAAAATTAGCTGGGTGTGGTGGCTCGCGCCTGTAGTCCCAGCTACTCGGGAGGCTGAGACAGGAGAATTGCTTCAACCCAGGAGGCAGAGGTTGCAGTGAGCCGAGATCACGCCACTGCACTCCAGCCTGGTGACTAGTGACAGAGTAAGACTCTGTCTCAAAATAATAATAATAAAATAAATACATAAATAAAACCCAGTTCTCCTTTAGGAACATCTTGTAGCCACTAGTTTGACATTTTAAACAAATAAATTAGAAACATGATGCAAGAGTCATTGAAAATATTTCATTTATCTATTTTTTGAGACAGAGTTTTGCTCTTGTTACCCAGGCTAGAGTGCAATGGCGCGATATCGGCTCACCGCAACCTCCGCCTCCTGGGTTCAAGTAATTCTCCTGCTTCAGCCTCCCGAGTAGCTGGGACTACAGGCGTGTGCCACCACGCCCAGCTAATTTTTGTATTTTTAGTAGAGACGGGGTTTCACTATGTTGGCCAGGATGGTCTCCATCTCTTGATCTCGTGATCCACCTGCCTCGGCCTCCCAAAGTGCTGGGATTATAGGCGTGAGCCACCACGCCTGGCTAAAGGTATTTTATAAAGGAAATGCCTGGTATAGTGTCTTGTCCAGCTAAATAAATAAATGTGGCTGTTAAATTGTAAGTTTTATTCTACTGCTTTTCCCATTCCTCCTTCTCCCCCAAGTTTTGTTTGTAGTCTGTGACTGCAGCCTAGTCTGTATTTAGTACATATTGAATAATCAACAGTGAAATGTAAATATTGGGCACATATTGTGTGTCAAACAGATGTATTAACTCAAACCTCACAGCAGTCAAGTTGAGGCATCCTGAGCCTACACTGCCTCTATGTGCATTAATAAATTAGTAAATATGTGACCAAATAAATGAAGTGACATTTAGTGGTATCGAAAGAACCTATGAGTAGGACTTCCTAAGAATGCTCTCCTTTTCAAGGACAAACCTTTAGTCTGTTTAAAATAAATTTGGGACGGGCACGGTGGCTCATGCCCGTAACCCCAGCACTTTGGGAGGCCGAGGCAGGTGGATCACCTATGGTCAGGAGTTCGAGACGAGCCTGGCCAACATGGGGAAACCTCGTCTCTACGAAAAATGCAAAAATTAGCTAGGCGTGGTAGCGGGCACCTGTAGTCCCAGCTACTCGGGAGGCTGAAGTAGGAGAATTGCTTGAACCCCGGAGGCGGAGCCAAGATCGCGCCTTTTGCACTCCAGCCTAGTAGACAGAGACAGACTCCATCTCAAAAAAAAAAAAATTAAATAAAACTTAAAAATTTTTGAAAAACCGTTAGCACTCATCAGCAGATCTTCACGCAGCTGGACTCGGGACACTTGGGGCCCTAGACAAGCAATTAAACTGACTCACGTGGTTAGAACCACATCATCCTGATTAGGGAATCCGTACTCTAACTACTAGAAGCCTTTGTGGAATGCACCCGGCGAACCTGACGCTTGAGATCTGACACTGCACAGATACCGCGTGGCATTTACGAGTCGGGTAGGGACCTGTGGGCCGGACGCCTCATCCCGGCATGCACCTCAGGGTCCGGCGACCACGCCTTCCGGCGAGCGCCAGGGAGCGCGTGTGCGCCTCGCCGCCCGGAAGCACCGCCCTCTTGCTGCATGCTGGGAGTTGTAGGCCTCCGGCCCCAGCCCGCGGGCTGCTGCCCGCACTCTCCGTGAGACTACTGGCGCCGGCGCCCGCCCGCGCGGCACCGACGCGGGGAGCGCGCTTTGCGCTGACTCAGCGGCGACGGCGGCGGCGTTAGCGGGCCCTCGCGCTCTTTCCCTTCCTGGGGCGCCGACCCCGCCCGCTTGCTTGCTTGCCTGCCTGCTAGTCCGGCGCCACGCAAGAGAAGGTGCCAGGGGACGCGGAGCGACGAGAGGCGCGCGGCCCCGGCCAGCTCAGTCTCCGGCGTTGGCGCTGCGGCCGTGGCGGAGGACTACGGCGACAAGGACGAGGGCCGCTCTCCCACCTCCCTGCGTGCGGCTTCGCTCCGCTGGCCGACCATCGGGAGTGCAGGCTGGGAGGCGGGATGGAGTGATAGGGAAGGTGACTCGGGGCTCGGGGGCGGCAGGACCGAGACTAGGCTTGGTCCGTGAGAGGCTTCGAGGAAGTTGGCCGGGGATGACCGGCCCGGGGCAGCCCCGACGCCGGGGAGGGTGCGGGCTTGGGACCCTCCATGGCGGTGCGTCCCAGGCTGGGCTGACCGGGTGGGGGTGGGTACGAGCCGGGGCCGCAGTCGAGTAGCGCGTCGCGAATGCGTGGCCGCTTGTTGCCTGGTGTTTCATCACCCGAATTGCCACGAGGCTTCCTTTAGGGGAGGGATCCGGGCGAGTGATGGGGGCAAGGCTGGACGGGGAGGGTCCGTATCGCCTGTGGCCCTCAAGCCCATTAGTCATCGTTGTAGCGCCTTATCAACTGTGGAAACCTCAAACTTGATTCTCCCCCACCCCGGGACAAAAAGGGGGAAAAGTGTTATTTCTGTGTAGTAATTGGCCAGCGCGGACACTCCATTTCTTCACAAACCTTCCTCACTATCCTGCAGGACTAGAGAAGCATGAGGTTTCCCTGTAACCAGAAAAACAAGTACTTTTTGAAAGTGCTAATTAGTTGTGGCGGGCGGGGTTTAGGGGAGAGTTAAGTTTTATTAAACCGACTTGTCAGCATGGTGTTAAAAGGCTGGAAAGAACCGTAGTCTTTGAAACAGCCTTCAGAAGGTGTGGAGTTTTTCCATATTGTTTAATTCTTAATGGCTGTCCAGGAAGAGTTAAGGCTTAATATTTTAAGTATGTTGCTCGCCTTCCCTCCAGAACCTTTGCAAGATGCATGCTTGTTGTCTCCCAGTGCGGTGGTGGTGCTATTTCGGCTCACTGCAACCTCTCTCTCCCAGGTTCAAGTGACTCTCCTGCCTCAGCCTCCCGAGTAGCTCGATTACAGGCGCGTGCCACCACACCTGGCTAATTTTTTTTTTTTTTTTAAGTTTTCGTAGAGACGGGATTTCACCCTGTTGGCCAGACTGGTTTCCAACTCCTGACCCCAAGTGATCCGCCTGCCTAGCCTCCCAAAGTGCTGGGATTACAGGCGTGAGCGGCCTGAAACAAATGTTTAAACCTGCATGGCTATGTCATGTTAGATAGATTATCACATGTTACGCACAGTCTTTTACTGGGAAGGCCGTCTTTTTTCACACGGGGTGTAACTTTTTGCTCGTTTGAACATACGTAGGTAGTTTGCCATATTTCACTGCACATTGATTGTCCAAGTGCCTTCTCTGTGGGAGATTCTTCTGTAGTAACAACTGTTACCTAGTTTGTTTCGTTGGGTTTATTGGCTATATTTTCCTTAGGACAACTTAATTTTTCTCCTGATAGCTTCAGAGTGACTTAACCAAGCTTAAGCAATTTTTTCTTTTCTTTTCTTTTTTTTGAGACAGAGTCTCACTCTGTCACCAGGCTGCATTGCAGTGGCACGATCTCGGCTCACTGCAACCTCTGCCTCCTGGGTTCAAGCAATTCTCCTGCCTCAGCCTCCCGAGTAGCTGGGGCCATAGGCACGCGCTATCACGCCCAGCTAATTTTTGTGTTTTTAGTAGAGGTGGGGTTTCACCTTTTTGGCCAGGATGGTGTCTATCTCTTGACCTCGTGATCCGCCCACCTAGGCATCCCAAAGTGCTGGGATTACAGGCGTGAGCCACCGCGCCTGATTTAAGCAATTTTTTTTAAAAAGCCATAGCAAATTCAAGGAGGCTTATATTGGACTTCCCAATCTGGGATTCTTAAAAACTCCGAAATTGTTTTTTCTCTCTGGGTATTTTTCAGGGGAATGGACATCATATTTTCCTAACACTGAGGGTGAAGGGAACCAGTACCTTTCTTTGAGGTTTTTGTTTTTTGTTTTGAGACGGAGACTCCCTCTGTTGCCCAGGCTGGAGTGCAGTGGAGCGATCTCTGCTCACTGCAATCTCCGCCTCCTGGGTTCAAGTGATTCTTCTGCCTCAGCCTCTAGAGTAGCTGGGATTACAGGCACGTGCCACCACGCCCGACAAACTTTTTGTATTTTTAGTAGAAACGGTGTTTCACCTTGTTAGCCAAGATGTTTTCAAGCTTGTGACCTCGTAATCTACTGATCTACTAGTGTAAGAATGCTCCAGACTGCGCTGTAATCCCAGCACCTTGGGAGGCCGAGGCGGTCGGATCACCCGAGGTCTGGAGTTTGAGACCAGCCTGATCAACATGGAGAAACCTCGTCTCTATTAAAAAAGAAAGAAAGAAACAAATAAACAAAAGAATGCTCCAAGTAGTTTCCATCCCCCATGTTCCTGCCTCTTATTGAAGGCCCACTATGTGCCAGGCATACTCTGCATACCTTATCTCTCTGAAGCCTTTACAACCTTATGAGGCAGATGGTTTTTTTCCCATGTCATAGAAAAGGCTGTCTCAGGTTTTGTAAGTTGTCCAAGTGGCCCCAATTTTAAAATGACAAGATACAAACCAGGTCTTTCAAATTCAAAGCCTATGTGTTCTGTTATGTCCTAGGGACATGGTGATGAATAGTCAAGACAGTCCTTGCCCTTTAAGATTATGAGAGATGGCCGGGCATGGTGGCTCACGCCTGTAATCCTAGGACTTTGGAAGGCTGAGGTGGGCAGAGCACCTGAGGTCAGGGATTCAGTATGAGCCTGGACAACATGGTGAAACCTCATCTCTACTAAAAAATGCAAAAATTAGCTGGTGTGGTGGCTAACACCTGTAATCCCAGCTACTTGGGAGGCTAAGGCAGAAGAATCACTTGAATCCAGGAGCTGGAGGCTGCAATGAGCCAAGATCGCACCACTGCACTCCAGCCTGGGCAACAGAGTAAGACTGTCTCAAAAAAAAAGAGAAAACCAGTAAGCTGGCAGGGGCATGTAATCCGATTTGAGAGAGTGGGACTATTGGGGTCAAAGAAGTGTTCTTGAAAGAGATGGCTTCTAAGTATAATTTCAAAGGACAGCAGGGGTTAACCTAGTAACAAGAAAAAAGAGCAGTGTGCAAAGATGAAAGGTAGAATACCATTGGAGAACTGCCATGTGGTTCACTAGCACTAGCCTTGCTGACCTGGTATACAGAATAGTGAGGAGTCATTCAAAAGTGGATCATAATCTGAGGGCAGTGGGGAGTTTCACTGCCTTGAAGTCTGCAAGTATGAAATGAACCATAAGAGAAAGGGCCGAGCTGTCTTCAGAGCTCTGAGTCCATATCCTGATTTATCATTTGATTCAGACAGGCTCAGGGGAAAACAGAAAAATGTGTCGTAGGTATCCTGTAACCTGGTTCTGATCCTGACTTCACTGTTCCCAAAAGGCTTTTCTCCCCAACCCCCAACCCAATTAGTCTTTTGGCTTCTTTGGTTATGATAATTTAAAAAAAAAAAAAGCCTCACAGCCTTTTTTTTTTTTTTCTTTTAGACAGAGTCTCCCTCTGTCTGGAATGCAGTGGTATGATCTCAGCTCACTGCAACCTTCGCCTCCTGGGTTCAAGCAGTTCTCCTGCCTGAGCCGTCCAAGTAGCTGGGATTACAGGTGTGTGCCACATTGCCCAGCTAAATTTTTTTTTTTGTATTTTTAGTAGAGATGGGGTTTCACCATGTTGGCCAGACTGGTCTTGAACTCCTGACTTCAGTTGATCCGCCTGCCCGGCGTCTCAAAGTACTGGGACTACAAGCGTGAGGCACCATGCCCGGCCCCCCACAGTCATTAATGGAAGTAGTAATAGCCAGTCTCCATACCTTTGAGGTCTTGAGAGAATAAATATCATTTTCATATCATTTAGAGTTTGTTCCATGTTAGCTCAAGTGAATATACATTCTATCAAAAATTAGGATGCTTTTTGGGGCTTATTTTAAAATGTTAGAACCTATATTGTGAAGAAGTGGATTACTTCCCAGAGATTTAAAAAAAAAATCTTAAGAGTGTCCGTGTTAAGTCATTTGTGGATCTCCCTCCCCACAACTCCAGACTGGAGTGCAATGGCACAATCTTGGCTCACTGCAACCTCTGCCTCCCAGGTTCAAGCGATTCTCCTGCCTCAACCTCCTGAATAGCTGGGATTACAGGGGTACAGCACCATGCCTGGCTGAATTTTTCTATTTTTAGTAGAGAAGAGGTTTCACCATGTTGGCAAGGCTGGCTTGAGCTCCTGACCTTAAGTGATCTGCCCGCCTCAGCCTCTCAAAGCACTGGGATTATGGGTGCAAGCTACTGCACCAGGCTCATTTGTGGATTTTTGTATCTACTATTGAAAAACATTTTTTTGAAATTTCTAAAATTGGCTGGCAAGAGCAGAGATATGTAAAATGCAAAACTAGTCCATTGCTCAAAAGCTAAATGACTACTTTTTTGTTACTTTGTTCCTTTCATTAGACTTCTCTTGTAATACTTTGTAAACACTTCAAAGGATATTGAACTCTGAGGTCAGCCATTCTCATGTTTTTGAAAAGGTTTGTGATGTTGGTATCTGGAAGTAGGCAAATTATTATACTTAAACTGTTATAATAAAAGTCTGGATTTGTCATTTTTATACTTACTGCAGTTGTACAATTGCATTTTTAAGTACTGGAGATAAGTAAAACACTACAGAAATTAGGTACTTCTATTTAAAGTAGAAAATGATTACTTTCTATACCTTATTAGGAAGATCTTGAAGAATAAAGTTTGAGGACCTTAATGCCATACTTTAGATTTTTAGAAATTACACATTAGTGGAGTAGTTAGCAGGGCCCATTTTTCTGAGAATTAGGCCCTAACTTTCAGTTGCAATTTAGATAAGTTTCAAAAGATGTTATTTAAACATTTAAACTTCTTTGCATGATTTTATCCACTTATATTTGGGATAAGCATTTATTTGTTCATCAAGTAATGTTTTCTTTCAACTTTTTTTGTGTGGCAGATGTTTATAAATTCTTCTGTGGGATCAGAGGGCACACCTATTATAACCAGAAAACTCCACGTATAGCAGCAAGGATGGATGAACAGGCTGTATTAGGGCTAAATCCAAATGCTGATTCAGATTTTAGACAAAGGGTAAGTTACTCTGCTGAATCATTTTTTAAAGCATGTCACCACAGATTTGTATTAGAGGACTTGAATAAAAATGCACCTGCCAAAGGTCTAATTTGGGTAGAAATGAACAGAAACAAAAAAAATTTGAGCTATTTGAATATATTTTGAATACAGAAACGTTGAGTGTTGTGATTTGTTTTCTGTTTGCTTGGCCAAACAAGAGTATTAAAATCACATGAGATTGAAGGCAGATCTTTATGCATCATCAGTCGTTATTTCTAATTATTTAAAAGTTGTAATGCAAAGGATTCATTTGAGGGACTCTCCATAGCAGCAGACATGCATATTTTATTTTTTTTATTGCTTGGCTTTGTGTATACAAGCTGTTTAATGCTTGCCTTAATTATTATTACTATTATTTTAAATTTTAAATTTTTTTGTAGAGATGGGGTTTCACCATCTTGCCCAGGCAGGTCTTGAACTCCTCAGCTCAAGTGATCCACCCACTTTGGCCTCCTAAAATGCTGGAATTATAGGCATGGCCACCCTGCCCCGCCATATTAATGATATTTAACATTCTTATTATTTGGTCTAGGCAGACATAAATAAGCAGTTATGATAGGCTATGTCTTAAATAAAATGATTATGTGACAAGAATCCATTATCAAGTGCTGGGATAGTTGGATAAATGTAAACAATTAAATATAATGTAGGCTACAACTATAATCATGACTATAGCGGAATGAGAGAATATAAAGAATGAGCCTATAATTTTTTTAAAGACGTGGGCATTCTGAAGTATAGAGTAAGTGAAAGGGAAAGGCATTTTCTTTATACTTTTCATAGCAAAGAATACTTTTTATAAATTAGCTAAATGAGGTTAATAATCTCACTGAATATTATAGCAGTTTTTCATATTTTAAGAAAAACACCTTTTAAAGCAGAAAAAAAAATCACAACTAGTTTCTAATATGGTACCATGTGTATGTCTCTGCTTCTAAATAAGTAGCCCTGTAGATACTGTAAGTATCAAGCTAATTGCAAGATACCTATCTAACAAGTATGGACATCAAAAGACATTTAAAATCCATGTCTTCTGTGTGTAAACAAATCTTTCTTGCCATAGAATTTTATATTACCAGCCTTCAAACACAGTTGAAGCATCATAGATCTTTACCTGTAGTCTAGCTTGCTATTGCATGCTTATAATTAGAAACCTGTAGTCTAGCTTGGCATTGTGTGCTTATAATTAAAAACCTTTGACTATATGTTTAGTTGTTAGATGGCCTTTGTTGTTGTTTTTATGTGCCTCTTGAAATCTTTTATTTCTTAAGTTCCAGCATCCTTTTTTTTTTTTTTTTTTTTTTTTTCTGGGAGATTTTTTCACAGCATCCAGTTTTTTTACCATATGCCATGATTTCTTTTTCAGAAAAGTAAAACCAGTACATTATTAGTGGCTTTAATACAGAAGTTGTGCTTTTTATCAGTAAAAATGGGTTCTGTCACAGACATGTTTTAAGCATCCAGGTCCCGGCATAATTTGATATCCCATTTGGCCAATCTGAATAACAATTTATTTGAATGAAAAGGAAGAAATCTTAAGAAAAGTGAATTCTCAAAGCCCTTTTGTTGCCAGTTCGGGAGTAGTGGAAACTTAATTCAGTTTGGTGGTGAGCGGAATGACTGTCTGCCAACCCCAATTGCTCAGTTGTCTGTCTTTAATTCTCTTTTTTACACGGGCAATAAAATTGAACCGACTTGTCACATAGAGTCAATAAACCATTCGAAAAAAGGTATGAGGTAGAACTAGGTGATGAAAGCTAGGACTTGTTCATCAATGTTGTAGAATTTTGTTTTTTTAAATTGTTAGTAATGCATACATTTAGAATACAAAGGCTTTGGTTAAAAACTAAAAACCTTTCAGGTTATCTTTCCTCTCCCACTTTTTTTAAAAATACACTTGGCTAGGTGTGGTAATCTCAGCACTTTGGGAGGCCAAAGCAGGCGGATCACCTGAGGTCGGGAGTTTGAGTTGAGACCAGCCTGACCAACATGGAGAAACCCGTCTCTACTAAAAATACAAAATTAGCTGGGCGTGGTGGCTCATGCCTGTAATCCCAGCTACTCAGGAGTCTGAAGCAGGAGAATCGCTTGAACCCGGGAGGTGGAGGTTGTGGCAAGCCAAGGCCGTGCCATTGTACTCTAGCCTGGGCAACAGGAACAAAACTCCGTCTCAAAACAAAAGTAAAAATAAAAATAAAATAAAATGCTTGTCTTTGGCTTAAAACCTGCTATTATTTAAAGAAAATGGTATGTCATGGCAATTCTAGTAGCCGAAACCACCTCTCCCCTCTTCTGTAAGTGAAGTATTAGGTGCTAATGCAACATATATGATTAACTTCTACCTTGTCCTCTGGCCTCTGAGATATTCTTTTTTTTTTTTTTTGAGGTGGAGTTTCGCTCTTGTTACCCAGGCTGTTGTGGTGTAATGGCTCGATCTCAGCTCACCGCAACCTCCACCTCCTGGGTTCAAGCGATTCTCCTGCCTCAGGCTCCCAAGTAGCTGGAACTACAGGTGTGCGCCACCATGCTGGCTAACCTCTGAGATATTCCTAAAGGAAACCCTAGGTTTCATGGACTGCTTGTTAGAAGCAACTAAGCTGGTAGTATCTTTTTTTTTTTTTAATTTTTAATTTTTCTTTTTTCATCAATTCACTGATAGAAGAATATCAACTGGTCGTATCTTTTATAGCTGCCTGTGTTCTTATAGTCTTAACTTCTAAAGAGACCCATTATTTACTCTGGGCTGTTTTCCAATACCAACAACCAACTCTCAGATTCTGAGGACATCAACTGAATGTCCTACAAATCAGTTCACTTCTGACACTACCAGGAATTAACATCACATCCTGCAAGTTAAGGGTTCGGTCTTACAAACCACCCCCACTTAAGACACCAATTGACTCTAGAACCTCTCATATTTCTGCTCCTACCTCCTTGAGTTTGATTATTTGTCGGAGGAGCCCACAGAACTTAGAAAAACAGTTTACTTGTACTGATTTATTATAAAGGACACACCTTGTGAGCAGCCACATGGAAGCAGTGCATAGGGCAAAGTATAGGGGAAGGGGCATAGAGATTTTGTGCCCTCTCTAAGGAACACTACCCTCTCAGCATCTCAGTGTGTTCGCCAACCTGGAACTTCAAGAGTTTTTATAGAGTTTAATCTTCATTCCTCTCTCCCCTTCCCAGAGGTTGGTGGTTAGGGCTAAAAGTTCCAACCCTCTAATCACTTGCTCTTTCTGGTACCCAGCCCTATCTTTAGGCTATCTAGGGTTCCTGCATCAAGTTACCTCATTAATATAAACTCTGTTGACCTTGCAGTCTCAGTCATCCTTTCACTTCAGCTTCCCAAGCAGTTGGGACTACAGGTGCATGTCACTGCTGCTAGCTAATTTTTAAATTTTTTTGTAGAGACAGGGATCCACTATGTTGCCCAGGCTGGTCTTGAACTGCTGGCCTCAAGTGATCCTCCCATCTTAGCCTCCCAGAGTGTTGGGATTATAGGTGTGAACTGCTGTGCCTGGCCTAAAGGGGCTCATTATAAATGACAAAAGACAGTCCTGTCACTCAAGAAACTCTAAGTTAAGAGCTCTGTGCCAGCAACCCACTGCAAAGTCCCAATGTATTTTTTTTGTTATGCTACTATTTACTATTATATTTGATGATCTTCATCTAAGCACCTTCATTTACCTGGTCTTCTGTCAGTAGGAGCAGCCATTGAGACCATGTATGAAAACCCAGTCCCTTATTCATACAATTGCATAGTATAGGAAACTATCATCTAAATATAAATACAGTGACTTTAATCTCTAACCCAAAGAAAAAATAATTTTACATCTCGATGACCCAGTGTGTATATATATTTATATATACATGTACACATAAATAAGTTACAGAAAATAATATTCTTGCTAAGTACAGTATGGAATATCTAATACTCTATATGTCATTTTTTAAATTATTGTTCAGGACTCATAAATTGATTTCATCACTGGGAGACACCACTGTTTTTAAAATATTCACCAATTGAAATTAGGTTCCTCTAATGCTAATGTTCCTTTTACCTTATCTCAGGTTTTGTATCAGTATATAATTGCTGTCAAATCATCTAGCAGTGTTTCCAATTTATGTGCGATTTTCTTGTCTGTTGGAGGTCCTTTTCACAAAATGTTCACTACTATTTGTCCATTGCCATGTGTGAAACCCCTGTGTCTGATGCAACATGCCGATGGGAAAAGTGCCTGAAGTAACTCCTGTTTTCCCAACAGTTGGGTAGAAACATATGGACATGGTGCTGCCTCCATTCTAGAATACACTTACTCTTCGTTGTTACTGTTACTTCTCATTACAAGGCCCTGAATTCTTTTTTTTTTTTGAGACGAAGTTTCGCTCTTGTTACCCAGGCTGGAGTGCAATGGCACAATCTCGGCTCACCGCAACCTCTGCCTCCTGGGTTCCAGCAATTCTCCTGCCTCAGCCTCCCGAGTAGTTGGACTACAGGCGCGCGCCACCATGCCCAGCTAAATTTTGTATGTTTAGTAGAGATGGGGTTTCACCTTGTTGACCAGGATGGTCTCGATCTCTTGACATCATGATCCACCTGCCTCGGTCTCCCAAAGTGCTGGGATTATAGGCGTGAGCCACCGCACCCGGCCTGTGTTTTGTCTTTTATAATCACCCCTTTCATAGCAGATGTGCTATTACATAGGAAAAGTGCCCTTCACATGCCATTTTGTTATAATTGCCTATTATAAAATGATCACACCCATAACCCATCCTCTACAGTTTCTCAATAGTATGGCACTTGACAAAGCATTTGGCTCTCATTCTTCATCATAACTCAGTGAAGTCTGTGGAACATTTTTGTGTTGTTGCTGCTATAAGAGAACAGGTTTGATTATCTAATTGATAGAATTTATATTTTAGGAATGACCCCTAAGTTGCAAATGTTTGTAAGCCTGCATTTAATATTTTAGCTGTTTTTCTATTAAGTTTACTGATTTGTTATTAGGTTTGCAACTCTCAGAATATTTTGTTCAGTATTAGCAGGGCATTGAGATTGTTTATTCTGAATGCATTTTTTTTTGTTTCGCAATCTTATAGGCCCTGGCTTATTTTGAACAGTTAAAGATTTCCCCAGATGCCTGGCAGGTATGTGCAGAAGCACTAGCACAGCGGACCTACAGGTAATTAAAACAAAAATTTTATGACTCTTAGTTTAAATTTCTGTAAACATGACAGGACTGTATTTGGAAACTGTTTTCATAAAAACATTTTATGAAGGTGATTGTAAATGATAAATATCTTTTTTTTTTTTTGAGACGGAGTCTCGCTCTGTCGCCCAGGCTGGAGTGCAATGGCGTGACCTTGGCTCACGGCAACCTTCGCCTCCTGGGTTCAAGCGGTTCTCCTGCCTCAGCTTCCCAAGTAGCTTGGATTACAGGTACGTGCCACCATGCCTGGCTAATTTTTGTATTTTTAGTAGAGACTAAAAATAGTTTAGTTTCACCATGTTGGTCAGGCTGGTCTCAAACTCTTGACCTCGTGATCCGTCTACCTTGGCCTTCCAAAGTGCTGGGATTACAGACGTGAGTCACCGTGCCCAGCCCAGTGGCATATATCTTAATTTTAACTTAAGGTATATAATCATTCAGTGACCAATCTTTTGATATTGGACCACAGTCTTATCTTCGTATGCTACTAGCAGTCACTTTATTCTTAGATTGGTCATACCTATAACCCATCCTTTGTAATTTCTAGGATGGGTGTGTACAATGAGTGCAGATTCGTACATTTTAAAGATATTTGCCCCCTGCCTCTCAAGTCTTTTGGTTATATAGGCCATGTCAAATATGTACAAGATTTTTTCCTTCTGCAGCGTGGCTTTCTGTGAAATCTTTCTAAAGTATTCAACAGACTTTTTACAGAAATAGGAACTCTCTTATACTCATTTCATTGGCAGATTGTTGGTCTCTAAAGGATCTTTGTCAGTGCTTATAGCTGGCTTACTGCAACTCTGCTTTTCCCCTGGAAAGACCGTTGGAAGTGGGTAATTGGTAGATGTTAATTTTTGCCCACATCTTATACCATATTTGTAATTTAGTTTCCTGTATGAAACTTTGAAGCTGGACTGACAGTCCATGTGGCCCTTCTTGTTTTGGATTTGGCTACAATAGAACTACTAGGGTTGAATTTTAAGTAGGACTTGGATGACCATCTCTGCTTTCACTCAGAGTCTGGCTGTTCTGCCATTTGTCATTTTATACCTAACCTGTTTTTGTAAAATGAAAGGGTTGTTCCAAGAATCTTAATATCTGGAATTTAGGGGATGCTTTGCTGCTTACAAAGCACTGTGTTCAAGGTGCATCTTAATATTTTGGTTATTTTGCTTGTCATATTTGAGACCAGTAAGCATGAAACAAGCCAAAAGTCTAGTTTGAGAAACTTTTCTGCTGTTATTCATTACTATTTTGCCTTTGATTTTTTTTTTTCCTCAGTTCATATTCTGCTTATCTCATTTTCTTTTTTTCTTTTTTAGTGATGATCATGTAAAGTTTTTCTGCTTTCAAGTACTGGAACATCAAGTTAAATACAAGTAAGGCTTTTCTCACTGTTTTGACTCTGAGATTCGTGGGGAAAGGTCATTTTTTTTAATTTAAGGTTTTTTCTTGAAGGAAACCATAATACAGATTGTAAATTGACAGTATATATGTTATATTCAGGTTATAGATATGTTTTGATGTATCGCAAAGTATTTTAAAAGTGCTGAGTTGGCCACGTGCAGTGGCTTACGCCTGTAATCCCAGCATATTGGGAGGCCAAGGCAGGTAGATCACTTGAGTCAGGAGTTCAAGACCAGCCTAGCCAACATGGTGAAACCCCATCTGTGCTAAAAATACAAAAATTAGCTAGATGTGGTAGTACACACCTGTAATTCCAGCTACTCAGGAGGCTTAGGTACAAGAATTGCTTGAACCTGGGAGGTGGAGGTTGCAGCAAGCTGGGATCAAGCCACTGCACTTGAGCCTGGGCAACACAACAAGACCCTGTCTCAAAAAATAAAAATGAAAATGCAGACATTTCACAGAAAAAAACCTAGATTTTCAGCTTTTCTGGAAAAGTCAATATCTGGGAACACAAGGCCTGTTTTTCTGCATGGCTACTCTCTGTTAGAGTTAAATGCTGAATGGGCACTTGTGTTCAGAATCTGACTTACTAATTAAGCAAAATAACAAATCATTACTGAGAGGATTCCTAGTTCACCTATTGGTTTATTCTGTAGACCAGTAAAACATGGGTTTATTTTCTTTCAAAAAATTATGTAGCCATCATTTGTTTTAACATGAAGAGGATCACAAACAAAGATTGATATTGGTACCTTACCTGCCACTCTCTTCTTTATGTTTAAAGCAATGATGAGTGTCATTATCAGTTTATGTTAGGAAACTTTAGATAATTGAGAGCTATACAGATTTTCCCTTTCAAATATATGAGGCTGTTACATTTCACAACCATAGACACCAAATATAGCCATTATACTTTTTCTTCTCTATTTTAAACAGATATTCGGAACTAACCACTGTTCAACAACAACTAATTAGGGAGACACTCGTATCATGGCTGCAAGCTCAGGTAAAATAGTAATTTTATTCAGTATTAGATGTTGAAACTTATTTTTGCAAGAGTTTGCAACTTTACCTAAAAGATTTTGATCGTTTTTCTGCCATTTAATTTCATAGCTTTTTTAGAAAGTTTTGGCTTTGGCTGGGCGCGGTGGCTCACGCCTGTAATCCCAGCATTTTGGGAGGCCGAGGCGGGTTGATCATGAGGTCAAGAGATCGAGACCATCCTGGTCAACATGGTGAAACCCCGTCTCTACTTAAAAATAAAAAAATTAGCTGGGCATGGTGGCTCGTGCCTGTAATCTTAGCCACTTAGGAGGCTGAGGCAGGAGAATTGCCTGAACCCAGGAGGCGGAGGTTGCGGTGAGCTGAGATCATGCCATTGCACCCAGCCTGGGTAACAAGAGCGAAACTCCATCTCAAAAAAAAAAAAAACAGTGCTGGCTTTAAAGATCAGGGCTAAGTGGTAACTTAGCAGTTATTTAATTTGATATCAATGTGAAATGATCACAGTTTCCATGACACATTGTAGAAACTTTAATTTTAAAATGTTTTTAACTACTTGACAAACACTGCTTTCCTCTTTGGCTCTTTTTTTTTTTTTTTTTTAATAAAGTCGGGGTTTCACCATGTTGGTCAGGCTGGTCTTGAACTCCTGACCTCAGGTGATCCGCCCACCTTGGCCTCCAAAGTGCTTGGATTACAGGCGTGAGCCACCGCGTCCGGCCTCTCTTTGGCTGTTAAAGGTGAGCCCTCCTAGACAGCCTCTCCATAGGAGCCCCTTATAAAGGGCCAGTTGAGTTCTTTTCAGTTAATTTTAGCTAATCTTAACACATAAAGCAATTGTGTAGCTAGAGTTTTTAATTTTCCTTAAAGAGCAAGTAGATAGAAGAAAAACACTTTTTTTTCCTTCTTAGGAGAAATTATAGGAGGTATTAAAACTGCACATGAAACTTCTCTGTCAAAGTGTAAGAATAAGGAGTAATCATTACAGCCTTTAATGGTTTATTTAATTGTTCTTCAACTGGCCAATCACTTAAATACTTTTGATGATTTTGATAATCATAATTATCAAAATATTTGATAATTATGATTATCAAAATATTTCGAAGCATATTCATTACCGAGTTTATATGGGCCATGTTGATGTTTGATGAAGCTTTGCCTTTTAATGATAAACGTGATTCTGGGTCTTTTCAATTTACATTTAATTTTATGGACTATTTCTTTGTCAGATGCTGAATCCTCAACCAGAGAAGACCTTTATACGAAATAAAGCCGCCCAAGTCTTTGCCTTGCTTTTTGTTACAGAATATCTCACTAAGTGGCCCAAGTTTTTTTTTGACATTCTCTCAGTAGTGGACCTAAATCCAAGGGGAGTAGATCTGTACCTGCGAATCCTCATGGCTATTGATTCAGAGTTGGTGGATCGTGATGTAGTACATACATCAGAGGCAAGTAGCTAACCATGAATTTTTTATATTTAATCTAAGTTTTGTAGGAGATAATGGGTGCATAATAAAAGAAGCAGAAAAGTTTTATTTCTTGAGGTAAACTTTAAGTTACATGATTATAAATTTATCTAATGTTTTGGATTTTATTTCATGAAGGAACTCGGTCTTGGTTATTTTTTTTCCAGATGTATATTGAAGTTAAAGTGTTAATTTAAATTTTTTTTTTTTTTTTTTTTTTGAGATGGAGTCTTGCTCTGTTGTCCAGGCTGGAGTGTGGTGGCTCAATCTTGGCTCATTGCAGCCTCTGCCTCACAGGTTCAAGTGATTCTCCTCCCTCAGCCTCCTGAGTAGCTGGGACTACAGGCACATGCCACCATGCCCTTCTAAGTTTTGTATTTTTTTGTAGAGATGGGGTTTCGCCAGGCTGGTCTTAAACTCCTGACCTCAGGTGATCTGCCTGCCTTGACCTCCCAAAGTGCTGGGATTATAGGCATGCACCACCATGCTCGGCCTGAATTTTTAACTAGCAAATGCTGTAGTGACATATACAAGTTGATTTTCTTGTATGAATATGTTGAGAAAAGTAGTCTCTATTTAATACTGCTATATAGTCCCTGAGCAAGGAAGAAGCATTGCTTATGAATTGTCAATGCTGCTGCTTCTGTATTTTCCATCACATAGTATAAGTACTATGTTACTATATTGAGAAATAACTACACCATATGCTTACGATTTCTAAGCAATGCTTATTTATAGTTTGTGTTTAATAAGAAATTAACTCTGGCACTGAGGAATAGAACAGAAAGAGGAAATACAAAGAATCACAGGATATGATCTTAGAGCTGGTAAATAGGAAATGCTGGTAGGGAATGTGTTAAGTCCAAGAGTTTGATGTGGAGGAAATTACTCTGTGCATGTATATACAGATATCAAACATTATTTTGTGAGGTAATCTACTTTGTGCATTTGGTGTTTTGTATTTTAGGAGGCTCGTAGGAATACTCTTATAAAAGATACCATGAGGGAACAGTGCATTCCAAATCTGGTGGAATCATGGTACCAAATATTACAAAATTATCAGTATACTAATTCTGAAGTGACTTGTCAGTGCCTTGAAGTAGTTGGGGCTTATGTCTCTTGGATAGACTTATCCCTTATAGCCAATGATAGGTAAGTATGCCTATAATTTTTGTAGTATAAAATACCGTATTTAAAACTCATGTCTTTGAAAATGTTACAACAATTTTATTGTCTCATTACCAGGTTTATAAATATGCTGCTAGGTCATATGTCAATAGAAGTTCTACGGGAAGAAGCATGTGACTGTTTATTTGAAGTTGTAAATAAAGGCATGGACCCTGTTGATAAAATGAAACTAGTAGAATCTTTGTGTCAAGTGTTACAGTCTGCTGGGTTTTTCAGCATTGACCAGGTGGGTAAATTTATATATAAAATTATATATAAAGTGGTTAGAACAAACTGGGATAGGTACTAAGTTAAATATAATAATAATTTTTTCTAAATGTTATAAAGTCTCCTTGAGATTATAATATAAACCACTGCATCTAGCCAAAATGTTCTTAGTAGCATTCTTCTTGGAGAACAGATCATACCAGTTATTAAACTTGAAAGTCTTGGGTAGTGCCTGCAGTTGCACATTTCTTACAAACTCACAAGAGATGCTGACACAACTTGTTCATAGTGGAATTGGGTTTTGTTTTTTTTTTTTTTGAGATGGAGTCTTACTCTGTTATCCAGGCTGGAGTACCCTGACACAATCTCAGCTCACTGCACCCTCTGCCTCCTGGGTTCAAGTGATCTTGTCTCAGCCTCCCGAGTAGCTGGGATTACAGGCACACGCCACTACACCTGGCCAATTTTTTGTATTTTTGGTAGAGACGAGGTTTCACCACATTAGGCTGGTCTCAAACTCCTGACCTCAGGTGATCCACCTGCCTCAGCCTCCCAAAGTGCTGGGATTATAGGGATGAGCTACTGTATCCAGCCTGGAATTATTAAATATGTAACGTTATTTTAAAATCGAGTCCTGTAATTAGCAATTGATTCATATTGAAGTTCAGTTTTTTTTCTCTTATGCTTTGGTGTAGGTGGTTTTAAATGGAGATATGTCTTGATTGCTTGTAGGAAGAAGATGTTGACTTCCTGGCCAGATTTTCTAAGCTGGTAAATGGAATGGGACAGTCGTTGATAGTTAGTTGGAGTAAATTAATTAAGAATGGGGATATTAAGAATGCTCAAGAAGCATTACAAGCTATTGAAACAAAAGTGGCACTGATGTTGCAGCTACTAATTCATGAGGATGATGATATTTCTTCTAATATTATTGGATTTTGTTATGATTATCTTCATATTTTGAAGCAGGTAAGTTTTTGTTTTATTCTTTTTATTCAGTACATAATACAAAGGAGTCATGGAGAAGTGGGAAATGTAGAAAAATTAAAAACAAGAAAATACCCATAATTCTACTATCTAAAGATATTTACTGTTAAATATTAATGTATTTCCATCTTATTAAAAAAAAAAACTTGGCTAGAAAATAGTTTCAGGTTCTAAATTCAGTAGACTAACCAGCTGCAGAGTTAGTTATAGATTTAGGTTTTTTTTTTGTTTTGAACCTGTATTTGCTTGTGAATATAGTTGAAATTTTCATAAGCATGATTTGTTACCTTAATTTACACATACATCATTCATTTCTTATAAAGAATTTTTTACAATTGAAATTTTCCCCACTTCCAGAAAGAACTTGTAGGTGATGTTAGTTTCTATATTATAGCATTTAGCAATTAAAAGAGTTAGTAACTTATCAATATGATATTAGATGAAAGAGCCATTTCTGTATATGTGCATTGAATTAATTGAATCAAGTTAAGCTTAAAATACCTTTCCAGATGACTTTAGTTTCTATTTTATTGTAATAAACATAACATGTATCTTTACATATATTTTAAGAAATTATATGCAGTGTGGAAGGGTATGATCACTATTGGTAACCCCATCTTATATCTCTTAATGGTTTTCTAGGCTTGTTTTGCTTTGTTTAAAAATCTTCTTTGCAGAATATGTTGTAGGTGTCTTTAAAAATCAAAGTCATCTATGTGTCTTTGTTTACATGTCAAGTTACTTACTAAAAGTGGCATTACTTGATCTTAGGTTAGGTTAGGTACATTTTAAATATAGGCAGCTACTGCTAAACTGCCATGCAAAAAGTTGTGTGCATGTTTTAATATCTTAGTTGATTAGAGGCTGGGCATTACATGGCTCTCACCTGTAATCCCAGCACTTCATAAGGCCAAGGCAGGAGGATTGTTTGAGCCCAGGAGTTTGAGACCAGCCTGGACCACATAGGGAGACTCCATCTCTACTAGTAACAAAATGAAAACCAGCCAAATGTAGTGGCACATGCCTGTGCTCCCAGCTAATTTGGGAAGCTGATGTGGGAGGATCACTTGAGCCAGTGAGTTGGAGGTTGTAGTGAGCTGTGACTGCACCACTGCACTCCAGCCTGGCAATAGAGCAAGACCTTGTCTCAAAAAAAAAAAGTCTTAATTGATTAGAAAAATGTTCTGATATGCAGATATAACTTTAGGAAACCTAATAAATTACTGCTTTCTTTTTAACAGCTTACAGTGCTCTCGGATCAGCAAAAAGCTAATGTAGAGGTAAAATGGACTTTATGCTTCTTTTAAACCAATGACAGATTCTTTGTAATTTGCTTTGAATTGTAATTTGCTTTGAATTGCAGCTTAATTTCAAATTATATCAAATTAGACGGAGACTGACAACTCTTTTCTTCTCAATTTTATTCTTAGGCAATCATGTTGGCCGTTATGAAAAAATTGACTTATGATGAAGAATATAACTTTGAAAATGAGGTAAGAATTTTTTTGTTGAGAAAGGAGTTTTAATTTTATCGTTTTTTTTTTTTTTTTTTTTGAGTTGGAGTTTCGCTGTTGTTACTCAGACTGGAGTGCAATGGCACGATCTCGGCTCACCGCAACCTCCGCCTTCTGTGTTCAAGCAATTCTCCTGCCTCGGCCTCCCAAGTAGCTGGGACTACAGGTGCGCACCACCATGCCCAGCTAATTTTTTGTATTTTTAGTAGAGACGGGGTTTCACCTTGTTGACCAGGATGGTCTCATCTCTTGACCTCGTGATCCACCCACCTCGGCCTCCCAGAGTGCTAGGATTATAGGCGTGAGCCGCTGCACCCGGCCTATTGTTTTCTTACATCAAATTAATATTTCGAGTTTTGACTGAGTGCGGTGGCTCACTCTTGTAATCCCAGCACTTTGGGAGGCCAAGATGGGTGGATCACAGGGTCAGGAGTTTGAGACCAGCCTGTCTAGTATGGTGAAACCCCGTTTCTACTAAAAAATACAAAAATTAGCCGGGCGTGGTGGTGCACATTTGTAATCCCAACTACTCAGGAGGCAGAGGCAGGAGAATTGCTTGAACACAGGAGGCAGGGGTTGCAGTGAGTTGAGATGGTGCCACTGCATTCCAGCCTGGGTGATGGTGAGACTCTCTCAAAAAAAAAAAAGAAAAGAAAAAATTCAAGTTTGTATTGTTTTGGGGCCCTTTAAAACTTCTTGAAAAATTAGTTTGTTTATATTGATACCAACCTTGGGAGAAATTAATAAAAGCCTCTTCAGTTTTGATATTTTATCCATTAACAATAACACCTCCTTTTTTTTTCTTTGAGACAAAGTCTCACTTTGTCACCCAGGCTGGTATGCAGTGGTGCCATCTCAGCTCACTGAAATCCCTGCCTCCTGGGTTCAAGTGATTCTTGTGCCTCAGCTACCTGAGTAGCTGGGATTAAAGCGTGTGCCATCATGCCAGCTAATTCTTGTATTTTTAGCAGAGATGGGGTTTTACCATGTTGGCCAAGTTGGTCTCAAGCTCCTATCCTCAAGTGATCTGCCTGCCTCAGCCTCCAAGTGCTGTGATTACAGGCTTCAGCCATCACGTCTGGCCCATTAACAGCCCTTTTAAAAATGCTTTGTAGCATTGAACATAGTAAAATATTAATGTTAGTGATCATATTTCACTTTATATTTTGTTAGAATAGTGAACTCCGGTCACAGGAGTGTACTGGCAGAGTGGAAATGAGGCACTCTAGACTTGTTCCAGTTAAAAGTCTTTGATTTCAGAATCGTGAGGGGGTTCAGCTTCCCATCAAACACAGGGAACATTGGTGCTTTCTATGTATTCAGCCATGGTATTTGCTGCTAAGCTATGTTATTAAGTGTTGTATTCCCTACCGCAGGCATTCAAAAACTTAGGGTTGTAAAAGTATGATGGTGGTGATGATGAACACACTGCACACTTGGGATGTGCCAGGCTCCTAAAATTTAATACCTCCAGTTATACCATATTATTACCATGTTGTACGATGGACACTGACTTACAAGAATAAAGTGCAAAGGTCTCAAAGCCCATTCTGGCGCTATTGTCTTTAACCTTCTTAGACTATTTCTGGCTTTAGGCTTTTGAGACCTATAGCTGTGTGCAGGAATACTTATTTATGAGGCAGAGGGGAGAAGTAACTAAACATAATAAGTTTTCCTATGTAAATAATGACAACAATTAAAAGTACGAAATGTGTAAATGCAGAAGAATACAGAACTGGATATTTTCATGAATTTTAAGGTCTTTTAAGTTTTTTAAATGAGGATTTCAACCTGTATCATAGGGTGAAGATGAAGCCATGTTTGTAGAATATAGAAAACAACTGAAGTTACTGTTGGACAGGCTTGCTCAAGTTTCACCGGAGTTACTTCTGGCCTCTGTTCGTAGAGTTTTTAGTTCTACCCTGCAGTAAGTTTGTCATTGCTTTTTTTTTAATTGTTGTCATTGCTTTTTTAACAAACTTACTACTTATCACTTTTTGGTATGGGTCAAAATAAACAAGCTTACTTCTTTCGCTCTTATTAATTCATGTTACTTATTGAGATCTTATGTGTATCTTTGGAAACAATGCACTTGTCTTCTTGATTTGTCTTGATCCTTTCTACCTTTGTTATATATATTATGTTGCCTGAGAAAGTTAACAATTGCTGTGACTTTTTAATTATTAAAAAGGCTTTTGTTGGTGTCTTACCCTGTACATAATTTGCTGTATGAAAAATTTACCTTCAAATCTCACTGACATATTATACCTTGGTAGGAATTGGCAGACTACACGGTTTATGGAAGTTGAAGTAGCAATAAGATTGCTGTATATGTTGGCAGAAGCTCTTCCAGTATCTCATGGTGCCCACTTCTCAGGTGATGTTTCAAAAGCTAGTGCTTTGCAGGATATGATGCGAACTGTAAGTATACTGAAGATCATTTATTTTGAACATAAATTTTCTGTTTTCAGTATAAGCTAATGGAAGTTACTTGTTAGAGCTTAGTATATGTTAATACTGGGGCATTTTGATGCAATAAATAAGAGGTTTCTTAACTTTTTCCTACTCTAGCTGGTAACATCTGGAGTCAGTTCCTATCAGCATACATCTGTGACATTGGAGTTCTTTGAAACTATTGTTAGATATGAAAAGTTTTTCACAGTTGAACCTCAGCACATTCCATGTGTATTAGTAAGTATACATTTTTACTCTGGATTTTTGTTACTTTCTATGGATTTCAGCTAATGAGTTGATAGTATTGTATTTTTCTGTCTATAACTTTTTTCATAGTCAAAAGCTCTCAGAAATGCTTGGCACATACTGAAAGTAACCCCTCCTCCATTTCTTTTAGATGGATAGTTTCTGCCCAATTAGTCATCTTAAACAAGTTCTCAAGGGTCTGTTTGTGTGTAGTTTAGAATTACTTTTATATTCCTGGTCCCTGCCTTTTAGGAGCTAAGAAGTAAAATTTGGTGTGAACAAAAATGTAGCATAACAATATCAACAGAAGTCTTGAAAAAGGGCAGAAATAGTAAAAGTGCCTCTTTCTTTAGATGGCTTTCTTAGATCACAGAGGTCTGCGGCATTCCAGTGCAAAAGTTCGGAGCAGAACGGCCTACCTGTTTTCTAGATTTGTCAAATCTCTTAAGTAAGTATAAAATTGCAGCTATTATGTTTAGTTATTTTTTAAGTTACTGAATAGCTGTAAAATAATAGTAAAGACATGGAATCAACCTAGCCCATTAATGGTGGAATAGATAAAGAAAGTATAGTACACATACACCATGAAATACTAAACAGCCATAACAAAAAACAAAATCATGTCTTTTGCAGCAACATGGATGCAGCTGGAGGCCTTTATCCTAAGCAGATTAATGCAGAAACAAAAAACCAAATATGACATGTTCTCATTTATAAGTGGGAGCTAAATCTTGTGTACACACAGGCATAAAGCTGGGAACAAAAGACACTTGAGACTCCAAAATGAGGGAGGGAGTGGGGCAAGTGCTGAAAAATTTCCTGTTGGGTACTGTGTTCATCATCTGGGTGATGGGATTGGATCAATGGAAGCACAAACCTTAGCATCCCGTGATATACCCATGTAACAAACCTCCATATGTACCCCCTGAATTTAAAATGAAGATGGAGGCCTGGCACAAAAGGTGGCCCACGCCTGTAATCCCAGTACTTTGGGAGGCCGAGGCGGGTGGATCACCTGAGGTCAGGAATTTGCGACTAGCCTGGCTAACATGGTAAAACTCCCTCTCTACTAAAAATACAGAAAATTAGCTGGGCTTGGTGATGGGCGCCTGTAATCCCAGCTGCTTGGGAGGCTGACGCAGGAGAATTACTTGAACCCGGGAGGCAGATTTTGCAGTGAGCCAAAATCATGCCATTGCACTCCAGCCTGGGCAACAAGAGTGAAACTCTCAAAAAAATAAAGATGGAAATGAAAAAAAATGGACATAAAAATTGTTTTCCAAGAGCCTATGGTTCTTCCAAGTCATGGTTTGTCAGGTAGATGTCCCTGTTTTTATTTTCGAGACAGAATTTCACTCTTGTTTCCCAGGCTGAAATACAGTGGCACAATTTTGGCTCACTGCAACCTCTGGCTCCTGGGTTGAAGCAATTCTCCTGCCTCAGCCTCCAAGTTAGCTGGGATTACAGGTGCCTACCACCATACCCAGTTAATTTTTTGTATTTTTAGTAGAGATAGGGGTTTCACCATTTTGGTCAGGCTGGTCTTGAGCTCCTGACCTCGGATAATCCAACCTCTTCAGCCTCCCAAAGTGCTGGGATTATAGGTATGAGCCACCATGCCCAGCCCCCTTTTATGTTGCCACTTCTTTCTTGCTCATCAGCCAATTACTTAGGTCTATACTAAAAGTTTTTATTTTTTGTTTGTTTGTTTATTTTTTTGAGACAGGGTCTCACTCTGTTGCCCAGGCTGGAGTGCAGTGGCTTGATTGCAGTTCACTGCAATGTCAACCTCCTCAGGCTCAAGTGATCTTCCCACCATAGCCTCCCAAGCACCTGGGACTACAGGCATGTGACGGTGGCCAGCTAATTTTTTTGTTGTTGTTGAGACTGAGTCACCTTGTCGCTCAGGCTGGGAGTGCAGTGGCGCAATCTCGGCTTACTGTGACCTCGGCCTCCCGGGTTCAAGCAATTCTGCCTCATCCTCCTGAGTTGCTGGGATTACAGGCGTGTACCACAATTCCTGGCTTATTTTTGTATTTTTAGTAGAGATGGGGTTTTACCATGTTGGTCAAGCTGGTCTTGAACTTCTGACCTTATGGTCTGCCTGCCTCAGCCTCCCAGAGTGCTAGGATTGCAGGCATGATGCAGCATTTCCAGCCTAGGGGGCTAATTTTTATATTTTTTGTAGAATCAAGGTCTCACCATGTTGCCCAGGCTGGTCTCAAATTCCTCAGCTCAACCTTCCTGCCTTGGCCTCCCAGTGTTGGGATTACAGAAATGAACCACTGCACCTGGCCTGTATTTACTAATATCATTTATGGGGAATGAAAACTACCCCTTATTAGGCTTATAAGATTGAAAGTCATTTTGACAGTCTTTTCACTACAGAACAGATAAAGGTAATTTTTAAAAATTAACCATAGCTAATCTTTTTTTTTTTTGAGACGGAGTTTCGCTCTTGTAACCCAGCCCGGAGTATAATGGCGTGATCTTGGCTCACCGCAACCTCCACCTCCTGGGTTCAAGCAATTCTCCTGCCTTAGCCTCCTGAGTAGCTGGAATTACAGGCATGCGCCACCATGCCCAGCTAATTTTTTGTATTTTTAGTAGAGACGGGGTTTCACCATATTGACCAGGATGGTCTCAATCTCTTGACCTCGTGATCCACCTGCCTCGGCCTCCCAAAGTGCTGGGATTACAGGCTTGAGCCACCACGCCCGGCCCCATAGCTAATCATAATCAATGTGACTAGCCTACAACTGAACTTTTTTAGTTCTGTCTTAAAGTGGGGATTTGGTACTTTAGCACTGTTTTACAGAGGACTGCTATTAATTGTGATTTTCTTTTTTACTGTTTTTCAGTAAGCAAATGAATCCTTTCATTGAGGATATTTTGAATAGAATACAAGATTTATTAGAGCTTTCTCCACCTGTAAGTATCTGTCTCTTTAAGATATTTTACCCAAAAATCATTGAAGCCACTCATGCCATTAGTTTTGTCTTTGTGGGGACTAAAAAAAAAACAAAACTGGTGATGGAGGGAGATGTATGTGCAAATGTTAGTTCTGTTTACCAAAATTCTGTTGGTATAGTAAACAAAACATAGTAATAGAAAGGAATCAAGTGTTGACCGATCAATTTGGCAGCATGGGGTATATTGTTAAAATGTTAAACATTTAATGGAGAAGAAAAAAAATCATTAAAGATGAGTTTGCTGTTAAGATGAAAAATATATTAAAAATTCTTTTTAAAGAAAATTTTAAAAATGTTGAAGTTCTAAATTAATTCTGTTTAGTTCTATATTTGTATTAGCCATTCTTAGCAGCTGCTATTGTTAGATTGAAGGTTTTCTGTGTCATTTTAGGCTTAGGGTAAAAAATTAAGTGCTAGTCGATCTGAATATCTTGGTGTTGGGATTGGGTCATAATCGAAGCATTAAAATCCTGAAATCCTAAAAATCACAATTCTGAAAGATCAAAATCTTGAAAATATAATCCTGGAAAAAGTAATTTTAAAAATTTATTTCACAGAAGTTGCAGTGAGCCAAGATCACGCCATTGTATTCTAAACTAGGTGACAGCAAGACCCCATCTCAAAAAAAAAAATTATTTTGAAGACATTGCTTCACATTTTTAAAAGGGAGTGTATTTGAGAAACATGTAAAAACATGACAGCACTTCATTGGTCACTTTACACAATAAAATAGGCAATAATAACATATGCTTTTGTAAGCATAAACAGTTATAAAAATGACAGTTACACGGGTAAAACAGGAGCAGACAAACAATTAATAAAGAAATAGATCAGAAAGCAAAATGTGTAAGTGCGTATCACTGTGGTTAGCAATTATGTGCCACTCAGCTTTGTAACTGCACTCATCTGAAATAACCATGACAGACAATCTTAAGTCTTGAGAAAATTGGTTAAAAAATGGCAGTGGGTCGCCACAACATTTGCAATCACTCAAAGAGCCGAGATCACAACAAATTTTATGTTTCATAGATGCAGATATACAGAAAGGATCTTCTTGTATACATGCATGGTGCTTAACACGCAAAGTTAATGCTGTGATACTGTACTTTTGTGGAGTCGAATTTGTGATGTTCAAGGCAGCAGAAGAAAAGTCTGTCCAGCTTTCAGAGAGAGATCAATTCAACTTTTTTATTTGTTCTTTCAGAGAACTGGTCAGTTAGGTGGTGTCCGCCAACATTGAGGGCAGGTCCTCCCCACCTAATTCGCTTGGACTTAGTAATCTTTTCTGGAAACACCCTCAGAGACACATGCAAAATAATGCTTTACTATGTATTTGTTACTTAATTATTAAAAGAAGTGTAATACTCTACTGTTTTTTGTTGTTGTTGTTTTGTTTTGTTTTTGAGACATCCTCAGCTCTGTTATCCAGGCTGGAGTGTATTGGCATGGTCTTGGCTCACTACAACCTCCACCTCCTAGGTTCAAGCAATTCTCCTGCCTCTGCCTCCTGAGTATCTAGGACTACAGGTCCACCACCATGCCTGGTTAATTTTTGTATTTTTAGTAGAGACGGGGTTTTACCATATTGGTCAGGCTGGTCATGAACTCCTGACCTCAAGTGATCTGCCCGCCTCGGCATCTCAAAGTATTGGGATTATAGGCATGAGCCACCACATGCACCATAGCCTCATAACAATCTTTTTTTTTTTGAGACGGAGTTTTGCTGTTGTTACCCAGACTGGAGTGCAATGGCACGATCTTGGCTCACCGCAACCTCCACCTCCTGGGTTCAAGCAATTCTCCTGCCTCAGCCTCCCGAGTAGCTGTGACTACAGGCACGCACCACCATGCCCAGCTAATTTTTGTATTTTTAGTAGAGACAGGGTTTCATCTTGTTGACCAGGATGGTATCGATCTCTTGACCTCATGATCCACCCACCTCGGCCTCCCAAAGTGCTGGGATTATAGGTGTGAGCCACCGCGCCCGGCCAACAATCTTATAAATAAGATCTTTATGAAAGGAAACAAGTTAGAAAGTTAACTTTGATAATTATCTTACATGATCATTTGTAGAGTCTTGTCATGACTGGAATTGGAACCATGATCTGTTGACCTCTAATTCAGTTTTCGTTCTATGATCCTGGGAGATAATTTGTCTTTCTAAGTATTTGATCTATGAGTTGGTGTGATAGATTACATTTACTGTTTGTTCCTAATGCACTTTTTCTCATTAAATGAGAGGAACTCAAAAACTTTAAGTAAGACTAAATTACATTCTAGGAGAATGGCCACCAGTCCTTACTGAGCAGCGATGATCAACTTTTTATTTATGAGACAGCTGGAGTTCTGATTGTTAATAGTGAATACCCAGCAGAAAGGAAACAAGCCTTAATGAGGAATCTATTGACTCCACTAATGGAGAAGTTTAAAATTCTGTTAGAAAAGTTGATGCTGTCACAAGATGAAGAAAGGCAAACTTCCCTAGCAGACTGTCTCAACCATGCTGTTGGATTTGCCAGGTAAGCGTGATCACAGTTAAAATTGTAATGTGCATGTATCTACACAGACAGAACCACTTGTTTGGCGAGCCACACATATTTGTGTTTCCTTGGATTGTCCAGAGAATTGTCTAAATCTTTGACTTCCAAATCCAGTAAATTAGGTTTAGTTGAAGAAGTGGTTAGATTACATACCATTTGCATTTTTGCCTTGACAACTAAATCTTTAACTCCTCTGACTTCTTTGTTATAAATAGGTTGTGTGTTTAAGGGGATTAGCTAAAGTGTTAAAATACCAAAGATACATTGGGATGGGATGTCTTTGGTTAGTCTTGGTTACCTTAAAGAGGAGCCTGAGGCTTCTCTAGTTGCATTGTGTCCTGAAGACCACCCAAGCAGCTTTTCCCCCTGCCTCTAACCATACTTTTCGTTGACAAACAATAAACAACAGCATGAAAGTTATAATGATTGCTAATTAGAAGTTAAATTGTTCTATAATATACTTAAGAACAAGAGTTAGATACTAGAGAGGTTGTATAAATAGCTTAATTCTGAAGATGGTTTTCTAAAAAATTTTTTTTTTTTGAGTCAGAGTTTTGCTGTTGTTACCCAGACTGGAGTGCAATGGCACGATCTCAGCTCACCGCAACCTCCGTCTTCTGGGTTCAAGCAATTCTCCTGCCTCAGCCTCCCAAGTAGCTGGGACTACAGGCGTGCCCAGCTAATTTTTGTATTTTTGGTAGAGACAGGGTCTCACCTTGTTGATCAGGTTGGTCTCGATCTCTTGACCTCATGATCCACCTGCCTTGGCCTCCCAAAGTGCTGGGATTATAGGCGTGAGCCACTGCTCCCGGCTGGTTTTCTGAATTTAAATAGGTAGTTTGCAGATTATCTAGTACAGCCTAATCATAATAAGTGGATTTATTTTCTCTTTCCTGTCCATTTTCTCAATAGGATTTTGTTTGTTTGTTTGTTAGGTATCATACCCAGCTAATTTTTGTTTTTAGTAAAGTTGGGTTTTCACCATGTTGTCCAGGCCAGTCTCAAACTCCTGGCTTCAAGTGATATGCCTGTCTCAGCCTCCCAAAGTGCTGGGATTACAAGCGTGAGCCACGGTGCCCAGCCCAGTTAATAGGATTTTAGTAAAACATTTAGATAGATTCACATTAGAAGGATTATATTAACTACATGTCATTCATTTAAATTAATTTGTGCTCTTCTATTCTGGAAAGATAATTAATTGGAAGCAGTAGTTTACCAATAGCCATATTAGCTAAAGATGGAAGTAATTGTGTTGTGGATAAAAATGGTCTGATTAGTTTTGTTAATTTTGTAATTTGTTGTGCAGTGCTTTTGAATACTTCATAGCACTTTTAAAGAATAAAGTTACATCTGATTGCCTGATTTTTGCTTATATAGTCGAACCAGTAAAGCTTTCAGCAACAAGCAGACTGTGAAACAATGTGGCTGTTCCGAAGTTTATTTGGACTGTTTACAGACATTCTTGCCAGCGCTCAGTTGTCCCTTACAAAAGGATATTCTCAGAAGTGGAGTCCGTACTTTCCTTCATCGAATGATTATTTGCCTGGAGGAAGAAGTTCTTCCGTTCATCCCATCTGCTTCAGAGCATATGCTCAAAGATTGTGAAGCAAAAGACCTCCAGGAATTCATTCCTCTTATCAACCAGATTACAGCCAAATTCAAGGTACTGCAAACCTTCAGAGCACTGAAAAATCTCTTGACTTAAAAATCAGATGTGTTTATCTTCAGACATGTTTTGGATTTTGCCCTTGAGTTTCTTTCTTTTTTTTTTAGACAATCTTGCTCTGTCACCGAGCCTGGAGTGCAGTGGCACGATACTGGCTCACTGCAACCTCCACCTCCCAGGTTCAAGCAATTCTCCTGCCTCAGCCTCCTGAGAAGCTGAGACTACAGGCATGCACCACCACACCCAGCTAATTTTTGTGTTTCTAGTAGAGACGGGGTTTCACCATGTTAGCCAGGGTGGTCTCGGCTTCTCAGAGTGCTGGGATTATAGGTGTGAGCCACCGTGCCTGGCCTTTTTATTTTAAATAGTGAATTACTTGATTGAGGGCTTCCTGGATCATGTGTATGTTTATCATCCATGGTGTCTGGCACACGGTGTACACTCCCTGATACATAGGTCATGCTTAATAGATGTTCAAATATAAACAGACCCTATCTGCTCTGTGTAGCAGAAGAAAACAACTAGCCTGCTGTTCTAGAAGAGCATATAAAAACAGCATTGAGTAATACATGTCTAAAGAAATAAGAAGCACCATAGTTTGGGTATCCACGATTGAGACAGTCTGCAGGAGTTAAAAGTAATTCAGTGTATTAAAGTCAGTTTTCTGAAGGACATTTAAGCTGTCTAATAATAAAAGTGGTTGATGCTTACATAGTACTTCCTTTTTTTTTTTTTTTTTTTTAAATGGAGACAGTCTCGCTCTGTCACATAGGTTGGAGTGCAGTGGCACAGTTATGACTCACTGCAGCCTCCACTTCCCAGGTTCAAGCGATTCTTGTGCCTCAGCCTCCTGAGTAGCTAGGACTATAGGTGCGTGTACCACACCTATAAATTTTAACCTAGCACACCAGACTAATCTTTTTTTTTTTTTTTTTTTTTGGAGATGGAGTTTCGCTCTTGTTACCTAGGCTGGAGTGCAATGGCATGATCTCGGCTCACTGCAACCTCCGCCTCCTGAGTTCAGGCAATTCTCCTGCCTCAGCCTCCTGAGTAGCTGGGATTACAGGCATGTGCCACCATGCCCAGCTAATTTTTTGTATTTTTAGTAGAGACGGGGTTTCACCATGTTGACCAGGATGGTCTCAATCTCTTGACCTCGTGATCCACCCACCTCAGCCTCCCAAAGTGCTGGGATTGCAGGCGTGAGCCACTGCGCCCAGCCCTAATTTTTTGTATTTTTATTAGACACAGTGTTTCCCCATGTTGGTCAGGCTGGTTTCCTTTTTTTTTTTTTTTTTTTGAGACAGAGTCTTACTCTGTTGCCATGCGCCAGGCTGGAGTGCAGTGGCACAATCTTGGCTCACTGCAACCTCCACCTCTGGCTTCAAGCAAATCTCCTGCCTCAGCCTCCCAAGTAGCTGGGACTACAGGCGCATGCCACCACACCCAGTTAATTTTTATATTTTTAGTAGAGACAGGGTTTCACCATGTTGGCCAGGATGGTCTCGATCTCTTGACCTCTTGATCCACCCGCCTCGGCCTCCCAAAGTGCTGGGATTACAGGCTTGAGCCACCACGCCTGGTCCAGGCTGGTTTTCAAACTTCTGACCTCAAGTGATCCTCCCGCTACTGCCTCCATAAGTGCTAGGATTACAGGCGTGAGCCTGCACCTAGCCATTTACATAGTATTTTCTATGTTCAAAATCTGTTTTAAGCATTTTTTGTACATTTACTCACTTGATCTTCATACCTACCCTAGAAGATAGGCATTATATGTTATAGTTGAGGAAAACTGAGGCATGGAGAAGTTAAGGGATTTGCCCAAGAGTATTTAAAACCCAACAGTTCTTTTGTAAGCAAGTATTGAGAAGGTGCTATTAAATGATGTTTTTTACCTTTGTTAAAAAAAAAAACCCTAAGAGTTTAATCATATAAATTGATTAAGCAAAACAATTCATTTTTTGAGAATTGAAATTTGAAAATATTCCATGGCAATATTTTATTGTGAAATATTTCTGACTACCTATTATTTTAACCTAAATCTTAAGCTGCAGGAAAGAGTTTAAATTAATGATCTTGAGGCTCTTAGTAATATTTTTTATTTTTTATTTTTCCCCCTTGAAATGGAGTCTTTCTCTCTGTCCCAGGCTAGAGTGCAGTGATGCAATCTCGGCTCACTACAACCTCCACTTCCTGGGTTCAAGCGATTCTCCTGCCATAGCCTCCTGAGTAGCTAGGACTGGGACTAGAGGCGTGTGCCACCATGCCCAGCTAATTTTTGTGTTTTTAGTAGAGATGGGGTTTCACCCTGTTGGCCATGCTGGCCTCAAATGACCTCAGGTGATCTACCCACCTCAGCCTCCCGAAGTGCTGGGATTACAGGTGTGAGCCACTGTATCCAGCCTAGTAATGTTCATGTTACATAGATTTTATCTTAAAATTGATATTTGCTAACTAAATTATGTACATATACATCCTAAATAGAAAAGAAAGACTTTATGTAAAATAGTTTTTTCTAGGTTTATATTAATATTGTTACTAATTTCTGAATTAATGTTGTTTATCTTCAGATACAGGTGTCCCCATTTTTACAACAGATGTTCATGCCCCTGCTACATGCAATTTTTGAAGTGCTGCTCCGGCCAGCGGAAGAAAATGACCAGTCTGCTGCTTTAGAGAAGCAGATGTTGCGGAGGAGTTACTTTGCTTTCCTGCAAACAGTCACTGGCAGTGGGATGAGTGAAGTTATAGCAAATCAAGGTGGGGACGCATGCTGTATCTAATTTTTCTGCTTAAGTCTGTGCCATTGTTGTACATCTATATGAGCAAGAGCAAACTGAAGTAAATGTAGAACTGTTCAAGTTTGTCAGCCCATGGAAAGATGGTTCATTGTTTTCAGGCTGGGAATTACTCACTTTTATGTAAAGCACCTTAAAATTAATTTGAATTCTGTTTTTTTCTTTATGCAGCATTTTTAAATTTGGTTCTTTAGCAATATAAATAACATGGCTGTTTGCCAGAATTGATCTGACAATTTAGTCTTTATGGCAAATTAGCCATTTTGAAATATAAAAAATGGAACTGTATAGATTAGTGTACAGAATTCTGCATAGGAAATTTAGGGAACAAGATATCAGGGGCAGTCTGACTTTTCAGCATTTTATTTTATTTGTGAGATAGGGTTTCTATTGCCCAGGCTGGAATGCAGTGGTGTGATCATGACTCACTGCAACCTTGACCTCCTGGCCTATCCTCCCATCTCAGACTCCTGAGTAGCCAGGACCACTGGCACTTGCCACAATGCTGGGCGAATTTTATTTTTTGTAGAGACAGGATCTCACCATGTTGCCCAGGCTGGTGTCAAACTTCTGGACTAAAGCGATCTGCCCACCTTGGCATTTGCAAAGTGCTAGAATTACAGATGGGAGCCACTGTGCCCAGCTGAGTTTTCAGTGTTTGTTTATTTATTTATTTAATAAAGACTGGGTTTCACCATGTTGATCAGGCTGGTCTTGAACTCCCGACCTCAGGTGATCTGCCCGCCTTGGCCTCCAAAGTGCTTGGATTATAGGCATGAGCCACCACGCCCAGCCGAATTTTCAGTGTTTAATACATAGGTGCCCAGTTAATAAAAATTAAGGAATTTTGCAACTTTGTAAATGCTTTTTTCCCTCTTGATTCTTCCTGTCCCACGTGTAAATGAGTTTTTTATTTGTTAATGTATATGAAAAAAGAACTTAAGGTTGCTTTCCTAATTATTTTTGGAAATTAAAGTAAGGTTTTTCTCCTCAGGTGCAGAGAATGTAGAAAGAGTGCTTGTTACTGTTATTCAAGGAGCAGTTGAATATCCAGATCCAATCGCACAGAAAACATGTTTTATCATCCTCTCAAAGTTGGTAGAGCTCTGGGGTAAGATAATTTTAGTTTTTAACCTTCATTTCCCACACTTTTCATAAAACTTTTAGAGATGAAATGGAACCCTAGCCCTAACAGAGAGAGAAACTGGGAGTTGGTTTTCCCTGGTGATGAATTAATTGACTTACTTTTACATATAAGATGAAAATTTGAATTCTCTTGACAGGAGGTAAAGATGGACCAGTGGGATTTGCTGATTTTGTTTATAAGCACATTGTCCCCGCATGTTTCCTAGCACCTTTAAAACAAACCTTTGACCTGGCAGATGCACAAACAGTATTGGTAAGCACCTAGGAATCTTTGTTTACCTTGTGTAGATCTCATATATCCCCAATTTCTTCTTTAATGCCAGGTTGATTATATTGTTTCATTGATTTTTTTTTTTAATTTAGTGATTTCAGATCAGGTTCATTTTTTAAAAAATTGACACTTTCTGGATTTTTTATGGATTCTTATTCAATCCCAATGCTACCACTGAATTTTACAAATTCATCAGCTGCTTCAACACGTGACTTTTTCTAGGACCATGAAAGGGCATATGGCACATTCTTTCAAGCTGGAGTATTAGTTAACTACTACTACTTTCATTCTAAAACTTGCACTTAGTGGTTTTCTATAATCATTAAGAGCACAGAATGGCAACTTGATCCTCCTTGTATGATAGTTTCCCCAGTTCTCATTTTCACAATACTTAATGTCAGTTTCTGCTTTCTCATTTTCCCACAACCTAGTAAAAGCTAGATTTCATAATTGTAATTGACTACATTCAAACAACAGTTTGTATTTTTCTTGTTTCTTTTTTTTTTTCTTAAATTCAAGCCACTTAATCTACCTGCCTGTTACCTTTCTTTTTTCTATCCCTTTTCTGGAGTTAAATATTTCTCATTTATTTGAATTTCTCTGGCAGTGGCCAGGGTAGTAAAGAGCTGGATCACTAAACAAGAATTGAGTACATGAAAATTCTTAAACTTGTTTTTCACAGGCTTTATCTGAGTGTGCAGTGACACTGAAAACAATTCATCTCAAACGGGTAAGCCTTGTAGTCCATGCCCCTTCATTGTCATCTTGCATGTGGTATTATTATCTTGGTTCTTGAAAGCCGTATCTTGTGTAAAATTCCTTTAAAAAAAAAATTTTTTTTTTTTTTTTTTGAGATGGAGTTTCGCTCTTGTTATCCAGGCTGGAGTGCAATGGCGCAATCTCGGCTCACCGCAACCTCTGCCTCCTGGGTTCAAGCAATTCTCCTGCCTCAGCCTCCTGAGTAGCTGGGACTACAGGCACGCATCACCATGCGCAGCTAATTTTTCTTTTTTTGTATTATTAGTAGAGACAGGGTTTCACCTTGTTGACCAGGATGGTCTTGATCTCTTGACCTCGTGATCCACCCGCCTTGGCCTCCCAAAGTGCTGGGATTGTAGGCGTGAGCCACCATGCCCGGCCTATTTTTATCTTTATTTATTTTTTTGAGACTGAGTTTCGCTCTTTTTGCCCAGGCTAGAATGCAGTGACACAGTCTTGGCTCACTGCAACCTCTGCCTCTCAGGTTCAAGCAGTTCTCCTGCTTCATTCTCCCGAGTAGCTGGGATTACAGGTGCCCGCCATCATGCCCAGCTAAATTTTATATTTTTAGTTGGGACAGGGTTTCACCGTGTTGGCCAGGCTGGTCTCGAACTCCTGACCTCAAGTGATCCACCTGCCTCAGCATCCCAAAGTGCTGGGATTACAGGCATGAGCCACTGCTCCCAGCCTATTTTTTATTTTATTTTTTGAGACAGATTCTCATTCTGTCACTCAGGTTGGCCAATTTTTTAATTTTTTGTTGGGATGGGGTTTCACGATGTTGGCCAGCCTGTCTTGAACTCCAGACCTCAAGTAATCCACCTGCCTTGGCTTCCCAAAATGGTGGATTACAGGTGTGATCCACTGTGTTCTGCCTTGGTTATTTTTTAAATATGTATTTTACTTTATTTTTTGTGACAGGGTCTCCCTTTGTTGCCCGGGCTGGAGTGCAGTGGCATGATCTCGGCTCACTGCAGTCTCAACCTCCTGGCTCTTCCCACCTCAGCCTCCTGGCTCGTCTCACCTCAGCCTCCTGAACAGCTGAGACTACAGGCACACATCACCATACCCAAATAATTTTATGGTTTTGTAGAGTTGGGTTCTCACCATTGTGCCTAGGCTGGACTTGAACTCCTGGGCTCAAACGATCCTCCTGCCTTGGCTTCCCAAAGTGCTGGTATTACACCATGCTCAGCTGATTCTGGGTATTTGTAAATAACTGGAATTGGTTGCCAGCATTTTAAACTCTCAGATACTTTTTTTAAACTGAAAATTCCTGCCTCCAACTTCTCTCAAAGCCATAAAATGCCAGCACAGGACTGGTATTGCCACATAGGTACAACCAGCTAAAGAGCAGTAGTTCCCCTCATCTCCTAAAAAGACATGAACTTTTGCTCACTGCTCTCCATTCAGGCTGTGCACTCATTTGAACTTGATTTTTTGATTCAGATAGAGACTGGAAGTGTTTTCAATTTAGCAGCATTTATTCTACACTTGCTATGTGCTAGGGTAGGGTAGGTGTGTGTTTAGGGACGGCAGGGTAACTGCATAAAGATGCACGAAGCATCCCCTGATATTAGGGAGACCAACACATAAAAAACTCCAGTGGGTTAAGTACTTTAGTGGAGGCATATAAAATACTGTGGAACTAAAGCTGAACAGGCAATTTTGCCTGAGGGGGCAGTCTAAGCAAGCTATAGGAAAGAGGTGATATTTTTGATGGCCCTTAAGATAAATATAGATTGATGGGACTAACAGGAAGCTGGCATTCTGGGCAAAGACAAGTTGGTATACAGAGACAGAACAGATGTCACATGGTGGATTTGGTGGGCAGTTATAGAGTTAATCCTGTTTAGCTAAAGAATAGAGGCAGAAGTGATAGCTAAAAATAAGATGAGACTACGTTAAAAGGCTTATGTTACGTGTGTAAAGTTGGGAAGTCAGTAGGCAGTGGGTTTTTAATTTAAGAGGGAAAGTGTTCCGAAGAATGGGTCTGAAGCAGTTAGAACTAAATACTGATTTTGGAGTCCTCAGTGTAAGTCAGTCTGTAAAGCCATAGGAATGACTAAGACTTTCTAAGACCAGAACAGAAAGAACCTTGGCTCAAGCAAGAGTTAACAGAAAGGTAGAAAGAGAACCAGATTGCTGGAAGTGGTGATGCACACCTGTAATCCCAGCTACTTGGCACGCTGAGGCACAAGAATTGCTTGAACCCAAGAGGTGAGGTTGCAGTGAGCTGAGTTTGGGCCACTGTACTCAAGCCTGGGCAACAGAGCGAGACTCTCAAAAAACAAAACAAAAAGCACATGGTGAAACCCCGTCTCTACTAAAAATACAAAAAAAAAATTAGCTGGGCACGGTAGCACATGCCTGTAATCCCAGCTACTCGGGTGGCTGAGGCAGGAGAATTGCCTGAACTCAGGAGGCAGAGGTTGCGGTGAGCCGAGATCGCGCCATTGCACTCCAGCCTGGGTAACGAGCGAAACTCCGTCTCAAAAAAAAAGCAGAACCAGAGGTAGGAGTATTATCAAAGATAAGGGAAGAGAGTCTCAGGAGATTGGATGGCATTGTTTGGATGCTAGACAGACAAGGTGGATGTGGATGAAGGATGAAAAAAAATAGTAAGGATGGTATTTCTAGTTGAGCAGTATTTGTTGTACCCATAGATGTCTTAATTTAAACACAGAATTGAGTCAGACAATACTATATTTTAAAGTGTTTTGTTTTAAAAACGAAAAAAATGTTTTGCTTCATTGTTCTATTTTTTTGTTCTTTTGACTGACTCGAGGTACAAGGTTACTTTTCCTGATTCAAAACAAAAGTACACTCTTTTAAAGTGATAACAGTGAGGTTACAAGGTGATGAACAATGCATATATAGGAAGCAAGCATAGAAAGGGTAGACACAAGAAAAAGATGAGAAGTAAAGTAGGAGGGATCTGGGAAACAGTGCAGAGTTTCTGCTTCTAAATTAAAGACAGGTTTCCTCTGATGGGTCATTAAACTGTGACCTAGATCCAAGATGAAGGAGGAAACAAATCCTTTGATTCAGGAGCACTAATATAAACAGGAATTCCAGGTTTCAGTGCAAGGAAGAGTACATTGAGGAGAGATAGAATTATTATTATTTTCTTTTTTAGCTGGAGTGTCTCACTCTGTCACCCAGGCTGGAGTGCAGTGGTGCAATCTCGGCTCTCTGCAGCCTGTGCCTCCTGGGTTCAAGCAGTTCTCCTGCCTCAGCCTCCTGAGTAGCTGGAATTACAGGCATGCACCATGACACCCGGTTAATTTTTTTGTATTTTTAGTAGAGATGGTGTTTCATCATGTTGGCCATGCTGGTCTTGAACTCCTGACCTCAAGTGATCACCCACTTCAGCCTCCCAAAGTGCTGGGATTGTAGGCATGAGCCACTGTGCCCGGCCAAGAACCTTATTTTTCAGATGGAAAAATGGATACTCAGAGAGGTTAAGTAACTTGCCCAAGTTACTATAAAGCTGCAGAGCCAGACTTCAAACCAAGGCAGTCTGGTTCTCGAGTTTGTGTTATTAAACACAAACAATGTTGCTTTTAAAGTGTACATGTGGTTTTCCAATTCTTTTTAAGCTTATTAATGTCAAGCAAGAAAATAGTTCTAAGTATCTTTTAATCTTCAGGGCCCAGAATGTGTTCAGTATCTTCAACAAGAATACCTGCCCTCCTTGCAAGTAGCTCCAGAAATAATCCAGGTAAGAGCTGTTTCCTACCATTGTATAGGCAAGAGATCACAGTAGTAGCAGCATTGCCTGTGACACTGTCACCAGTAGAAATCACAAATATTTTCATGTTACATAAGTTGTTACCAGTATCTCAAAATACTATTTATGCTTATCACCATTTTGAAACTATGAGTTACTAAGTAACGTCACTACACCTTGTTACTGAACAAGTTAATAAGTCCTTACTGTTCTACCATACTTTAAATAGTCTGATAGCCATTATTCAGTATAATTGGCTTCTGTTGTAATCCCATGTAGTATGTTTTACACATTTTTTTTAAGAAACATTCTAAAAGGAGTCTAATAGGCTTTTCCAGACTGCCAAAGGGGACTACAGCAGAGTTCTGAAGCTTTGTGCCAGATAGTTCATTGTATGTATGCCAAGATTATCAATGCTTCATCTGTAAATCTGAAACTATTTTAAGGAAAGTGTCTAGAGAGTTACCTTATACTTTTAAGAAGTCATTTGTATAATACTGTTTCTTGGCATATAATTTTTCAGATTTCTTATCCAGTAGTACATGGAGTTATTGAAGTATCTAAACCTAGAATTATAATCTCTTATGTATATTTCAAAATTTTTTTCTTCATCAATAGTGTTGTTTATTTTGTAATAAGAACACTTACATGAGATATATACCATCTTAACTATTTTTAAGTACACAACACAGTATAGTTAATTATAGGGACAGTGTTGGACCTATAAAACATAGGTAGCTCTCTAGAACATAGTCACCTTGTATAACTGAGACTTTATACCTGTTGATTAGCAATTCCCATTTCCCCAGCACCCATTTTCTGGAAACCACCATTTTACTCTGATTCTGTGAATGTGACTACTTTGGATACCTCATATAAGTGGAATCATACAGTTATTTCTCTTTTTGTGGTTGGCTATTTCACACAATGTCCTTTAGGGTCATCCATGATGTTACATATGGCAGGATTTCCCAATTTTTTAAGGGTGAATAATATGCCATTGTATGTATATATCACATTTTCTTTGTTCGTTAATCCACTGGTAGATTCATTTGGGATATTTTCACATCTTGGCTATTGTGAGTAAGTGCTACAGTGAGCATGGGAGTGCTTGTATGTCTTTGAGATGCTCATTCTAATTCTTGAGATGCTCATTCTAATTTTTTGAAGAAACTTCTTACTGTTTTCTGTAGTGGCTGTATACCATTTTGCTTTTCCATCAGTTGTGTAGCAGGGTTCCAATTTTTCCACATCCTCATCGACACTGTTGTCTTTTTTTTTTTTTTATAATAGCCATTCTAAGAGGTGTGCGGTGATATCTCATTGTGGTTTTGATTTAGTGATGTTTGAGCATCTTTTCATATACCTGTTGGCTATTCATATTTGAAGAAGTCTATTCAAGTCTTGAGCCCATTTTCTAGTCATTAGGTTTTTTGCTATTGAATTAAAGGAGTTTTTAATATACTAGAAATTAACTCCTCATCAGATAAATGATTTGCAGTTATTTTCTCCCATTTTTTTTTTTTTTGAGATGGAGTTTCGCTGTTGTTACCCAGGCTGGAGTGCAATGGTGCGATCTCGGCTCACCGCAACCTCTGCCTCCTGGGTTCAGGCAATTCTCCTGCCTCAGCCTCCTGAGTAGCTGGGATTACAGGCACGTGCCACCATGCCCAGCTGATTTTTTGTATTTTTAGTAGAGACGGGGTTTCACCATGTTGACCAGGATGGTCTCGATCTCTCGACCTTGGGATCCACCCGCCTCGGCCTCCCAAAGTGCTGGGATTACAGGCGGGTTCTCCCATTCTTTAGCTATTCCAGAGGTTGCCTTTTTGCTCTGTTGATTGCTTACTTTATGGGGCACTAGCCTCTTAGTTCGATGTAGCTCCACTAATATAGCTTTTCATGGTATCAATGAAATCATTTCCAAGACCAGCATCATAAAGCTTTTCCTGTTTTCTTCTGGTTTTGCAATTTGGGGACTTACATATAAAAGCTTTAATACATCTTGAGTTGATTTTTGTGTATGGTGTAAGATAAGGGTTTTGTTTTCTTTTGCATGTAATCCAGCTTCACCAGTACCATTTGTTGAAGAGACTATTGTTTCCCCTTTGTGTATTCTTAGTACCTTTGTTGAAGATCAGTTGACTGTATGCAGGAGTTGATTTTCAGATTCTATTTTGTTCCACTGGTTTATATGTCTGTCTTAAAATAGACAGGGTCTCACTCTGTTGTTTGGACTAGAGTGTGGTGGCACCGTGATAGCTCACTGCAACCACAAACTCCTGGACTCTAGGAATCCTTCTACCTCTGCCTCCCAAGTAGCTAGGATATATGTCTGTCCTTTGTTAGCACCATACTGTTTTCATACTGTAATGTTACATTTTGAAATCAGGAAGTGTGGTATATCCAGCTTTGCTCTTTCTCCAGATTGTTTTTGGCTATTCCAGGCCTTTTGGGATTCCATGTAAATTCTATTGTTGTTTTTCTATTTCTATAAAATATGCTCTTGGAACTTTTATATGGATTGCCTTGAATCTGTACATTGCTTTGTTTTTTGTTTTTGAAATGATTAAGAAGCTTTTAAAAATTTTTTTAATTTATTTTTTCTTGAGATGGAGTCTTGCTTCATTGCTCAGGCTGGAGTGCAGTGGCATGATCTTGGCTCACTGTATGCAACCTATGCCTCCCAGGTTCAAGCGATTCTTGTGGCTCAGCTTCCCTAGTAGCTGGGATTACAGGCACGCACAACCATGCCCAACTAATTTTTTTTTTTTTTTTTAAAGTAGAGACGGGGCTGGTCTCGAACTCCTACCTCAGATGATCCTCCCAACCCACCTTGGCCTCCTAAAGTGCTGGGATTACAGGTGTGAGCCACCTTGCCTGGCCATCAAGAAGCATTTTTTTGACCTGATGGAACAGGAATATTCGTTTAGCAGCTCAGCTTTATATACTATTTCCCCTATGTCATTTTACATACATGTGTAAAAGGGGGGTCCTTTTATTCCAAAGAGATTTCCAGAGTACAATGACACAATCTCAGTTCACTGCAATGCCCACCTTCCAGGTTTAAGCAATTCTCCCACCTCAGCCTCCCAAGTAGCTGGGATTACAGGCACCTAGCACCATGCCTGACTAATTTTTGTATTTTTAGTAGAGATGGGTTTCACCATGTTGGCCAGGCTGGTCCCAAACTCCTGACCTCAAGTGATCCACCTACCTCAGTCTCCCAAAGTGCTGGTATTATGGGCGTGAGCCTGTGTGCCTGGCCAGAACTAGGGGCTTTTCTGTAGCCCAGGTAACCACATATCAATTACTGTAGCCCACAGTGGCCTTTAACCTTAGTCCTGGGTACTGGCTTTCAGTGTTGCTGTCTACTTCCCTGTCTTCTCCTTGGGTAATGCCACTAGGCCCAGGTAGGATACCTGCCCTTTCCCTTTACGGGTAGAATCCCAGAAAAAATACTTTGAAAGCCAAATGAGCTGGGTGAGATAACTGCTTTTTCTCCTGCTCCTTTTGGTCTTAAGCGTGACCTCATTCTTCCCAATGATTTTTTTGGTGTGTTCCATGATCTCCTTACTCACCTTGATCTCTGTATCCACCAGGACCTGCTCTTCATAATATAAATAGAATTGTAGGAAGGGTAATGATATCATGTTCTTAAACATCATAATCTGTATCCAAGTGTTTTTTAAATTGGATCTGAGGTATGTTGGAAAATGCAGATTTCCTGGCACCTTCGCTCAGAAACTCATATTTGTTATAATTCACTGTTATGACCTTCACCATGTCCCTGAACACTACTACATCACCCTGGTCTGGGTACTGCAAATGGGAAGGGCCCCTTCACAGGTGGTAGCAGCCAAACACCAAAGAGGGGCAAGAGAGCGTCAGACACTTCTTGGCAGATGGCTTTGGGTAGTGAGGACATTTTTTAAGTCTTCAGTCCGTGAACACAGCTATCTTTCAATGGTGGTTTTTGTTTTTGTTTTGAGACAGGGTCTTAACTCTGTCGACGAGGCTGGTGTGCAGTAGTATAATCTCGGCTCACTGCAACCTCTGCCTCCTGGATTTAAGCAATTCTCCCACCTCAGTCTCCCAAGTAGCTGGGACTACAGATGCAAACTGCCGTGCCTGGCTAATTTTTGTTTCACTGTGTTGGCCAGGCTGGTCTCGAACTCCTGACCTCGTAATCTGCCCACCTCAGCCTCCCAAAGTGCTGGGATTACAGGTGTGAGCCACTGTGCCTGGCATAAACTAATATTTTAATGAAAATAATAAATTACTAATTACTCTCATGATCTTAGCGCTCATCAAAAGTAGAACTAGACCATTCCCTTTACAGCTAATACTCTTCCTGATTGCTAAATGAAGCAAAAATATTTTTCTGTTTAGCAATTCTATTGTGAAAGATAAGCAACCTGTTTTCCCTTCTTCATATGCCTTATGTCTGACAACACTTTTTGTGGAATTTTCTGTTAGAATTTTCTTTTGGTCTAGCTCTGCTTGGTTTTATCCCTCTTACTAGATGTGAGCAGCCATAGCAATGTAGTTTTTGTCCCACTCACTCTTCTCAGGCATGAGTCCACCTTGTCTAAGAGCATTTCAAAATGCTATAAACCTCTTGTGGTGAGGTACTGTTGAATTGATCTTGATAAGTTATAATAAGAATACTATGAATTTGAAGCAACCTTAAGTTCCTTTGACAGATAAATGGACAAATAAGATACATACAATAGAATATTAAGCCTTATTTATAAAATAATCCTGTCATATGCTATAATGTGGTTGAACCTAGAGGACATTATGCTAAATGAAATAAGGCAGTTATTAAAAGACAATGCTTTATGATTCTATTTGAGACTTGCCAAAGCAGAAAGTAGAATGGTGGTTCCCAGGGGCTAGAGTAGGGGAAAATGGGGAGTTCTTCAGTTAAGAGGCAGAAAGCAAGCTTGTTTTACAAGATGCAGACATTCTAGAAACCTGTTGAACAACAGTGTGCATGTAGTTAATGCTACTGTACTGTACATGTAAAAGTGGTTAAGATGGTAAGTTTCAAGTATTTTTAACTACAACTTAAAAAAAAAAAAGCCAGGCACAGTGTCTTATGGCTGTAATTCTAGCTTCTTGGGAGGCTGAGGTGGGAGTGCCCCTTGAGCCTAGGAGTTGGAGGATACCAACTCCTCCAACAATGTTCATGAGCTATGATCATACCACTGTACTTCAGCCTGGATGACAGAGCAAGACCATTTCTTTAAAACAAAAAAACTGTGGGCTGGGCACGGTGGTGCACACCTATAATCTCAGCTCTTTGGGAGGCTGAGGCGGGCAGATCACCTGAGGTCAGGAGTTTGAGACCAGCCTGACCAAGATAGTGAAACCCTGTCTCTACTAAATTAAAAAAAAAAAAAAAAAAATTAGCCAGGTGTGATGGTGCATGCCTTTAATCCCAGCTACTTGGGAGGCTGAGGCAGGAGAATCACTTGAACCAGGGAGGCAGATGTTGCAGTGAGTTGAGATAGCACCATTGCACTCCAGCATGGGCAACAAGAGCGAAAACTCTGTCTTCAGAAAAAAAAAAAACAACTTAAACTGTGGATATGAATTACAATGGATTTAATACAAATACATTTGTTCTTGTTCTGCTCTGTTTTTCCGGCTCCCCAGGAGTTTTGTCAAGCGCTTCAGCAGCCTGATGCTAAAGTTTTTAAAAATTACTTAAAGGTAAGTATTTGTGAAACTCACATATCTTCATACAATTAGGTAATATTTGAGAGCCAAGAGAGAATAAATATCTGCAATTACAGATGTTTATGTGAAGTCCTTTTTAAGCTCTTGCAAAAGATCATAAAACGTTAGGTAAGCACACTGAATGTATACCCTTTGATATATTGGTAAGAAAATGCCAGTTTCCTTTTATATTTCCATGATGTAATTAAATAGAAACTAGAGGGATTAGGAGAATAAGAAATGTTCAAGAATAGTTATCCATATTAAGTTGAAAAGAAGGAGCTAAAAATATAAAAACATAAGTATCAGATATTTGCTTTTATCCTATTTTGAAATATTCGAATTGTAAGACAAAAGGAGACTCCTCAGATTTGGTCCATCAAGCCTCCTTTTACATTTATGAAATCACCGATTTTTTTTTAACTCTGTAAATCAACAAAAAGTATCATGTTTATTTGGTATTCATAGTTATAATTAAGTTCATGAGATAAAACTGTCTTGGTCTTACCTAGGTAGTCATTCATTTCATACATCATGACTGCTTTTTATGTACCAAGGTCTATAGTAGTGGTTGCAAATACAACTATGAGTAATTTTCCCTCCCCAGAAGGAGCTCGTGATCTAGAAATAAAGTTACATTGTGACAAGATGAGTTGTTTATTTTTTATTATCTTCACTTAAATAATTTGAAGACAAAGCACAATACAGCAGGTAACTTAGTGTATCACCTGGTTCTTTTGGCTAAGGCATTCAGTAGAATACATAAGTCAAAGGGCTTTGTGCAGTAAATAATTTAAGTGTGCCATCCTTTGACTGTGGTTCTAATATCTTCCCTGTCAGTTTTTTCTTATAGTTTGTCTCCTACAAAGTAGTAGTACACAAAAGTTTGTCAGCTTCAACATCTCAGAGAGTCTGTGTGGAAGAATATTGAGGGCTCCTTCACCGTCCTCCCATAAAAGCCAAGTGCCTATGGGAGTAATCCCTGTTAAATAACTGATCAATCAAACTGAATTAAAGGACTCAATCCTCTATCTATTAGAGGTGTCTGTAACAGATCTAGGTACCCTGTAGAAGGCTTGTGCTCCAGATATGGTTATTCATCTTCATAGCATTTATAAAGTCTTCTTTCTGAGCCCAACTTCTCTTCAGTGATGACATTATCTTAGTGATCTCATTATCTCAGTGTTAGCATTATGATTCTAGTTGGAAAAAATAAACTTTATTCTTTTGTGCTCACTCCTCTCTTCACACCTGATTGATCCTCAGAGTTTGTGGATTCTTTCCTCCTCCTCCTTGCTCCTGTCTCTTGCTGCTGCTCTAGTGCAGGCTTATGTTATCTGATTCTGTTCTCTCTTCACTTATTCTAGCCAGGCTGATGAGTTTGAAAACTTCAAACAGTCCTTTGATATTTTTCTCCTTCCTCATAACCTTCCTAAACAAATTCATGTTTCTCATTTTGGCACTTAATTTTTTTTTTTCATATTCTGACCTGAGACTATCTTTCTGCTTTTTCTTGCAGAACTGGTCTTTACTGTTCCTGTAGTTCTTCAAAAATCCTGCCTTACTAGCAGCCCAACTTCTGTATGAACTATACCCATTTTTCTAGGTTTGCCTGAAGCATGGCCTCCTTACTTTCTTTTGCTTATATAGTGATCATTCTTTTTGCTGCACATAGTCAGTAGATTATCTGTTAAATGAATCTCCTAGGTGCTAGGGCACCATCGATACTGTTCTTGTCTGCATTAGTCCATTTTTATGCTGCTGATAAAGACATACCTGAGACTAGGCAATTTACAAAATAAAGAGGTTTATTGGACTTAACAGTTCCACATGGCAGGGGAGGCCTCACAATCGTGGTGGAAGGCAGGGAGGAGCAAGTCACATCTTACATGGATGGTAGCAGGCAAAGAGTTTTTATGCAGGGAGACTCCCATTTTTAATATCATCAGATCTCATGAGACCCATTTACTACTCAGGAGAACAGCATGGGAAAGACCCATCCCCATGATTCAATCATCTCCCACTGGGTCCTTCCCACAACACATGGGAATTATGGGAGCTACAAGATAAGATTTGGGTGGGGACACAGAGTTAAACCATATCATTGTCCTTACTGAGCACACTGAATTGTGTTTGATGCTAACCTGACCTGCTGTGGATGGCAGTGTGTAATACTAGGCCATGCCTAGCACAGCCTCTAGCCAACTCTTTTGAAGTCCCAAATTTTGACTTGGAAGTACTTTTTTTTTTTGAGACGGAGTTTCGCTCTTGTTACCCAGGGTGGAGTGCAATGGCGCGATCTCGGCTCACCGCAACCTCTGCCTCCTGGGTTCAGGCAATTCTCCTGCCTCAGCCTCCTGAGTAACTGGGATTACAGGCACGTGCCACCATGCCCAGCTAATTTTTTGTATTTTTAATAGAGACGGGGTTTCACCACGTTGACCAGGATGGTCTCGATCTCTTGACCTCGTGATCCACCTGCCTTGGCCTCCCAAAGTGCTGGGATTACAGGCGTGAACCACCGCGCCCAGCCCGACTTGGAAGTACTTTTGAATCATCAAATAAATAGTAAATTCTTTATGGGATTAGAACTGCTATGTTTAGCTTTGACTTGTTTCTTCCTCAATATTTAATTTATCAGTGTTAATTTTGAAATAGTACCAATCAGTAAAAAGGTGTCAAGAGCATATTTTCTTCTGATCCCTTGATTTCCATAGCATACAGATAATACCATATTTTCTCTACTTCCCCAATTGGGTGATATCAGCATAAGTTATATCTAGACTTACTAAATTCTCCAGAAGAGAAGTTTCTTACCTTAGATTACATATGGATATCTGAGGCATGCAAAATGTTCTAAATGTCTATTGTTTGTTACAAAAGAACACTGCTGGCATTCAGAAACTTGTAACCATTCTTCAGGTGAAAGTGATACCTTCTGACATAAGTATTGATTGCATTAATACTTTGTTTACAGGTGTTCTTCCAGAGAGCAAAGCCCTAAGGACTGGATTTCCCATGCCTACTTCATCATCAGGAATTCTAGTTAATAATTTATAAAGAAGCAGTTTTTGTGTGCCATTCACACTGGTCCTTTTAACATTGTTTCGAGCTTATTATTGCAGTATATGTTTTGGGATTTTTCTGTAAAATGGGTGTAATTTTCCTAATACAGGTATGTAACAACAAAAGAAGTTGCCTGCATGCCAGTTCAAATTGTTCTATATAAAGATGATCTTAAAAGACACAGAGCTATCCTAGAACCTTAATTCTTTTGAAATTTTAAGTCAAATCCTTTATAAAGACCATAGCAGTGGAAAATAGTGTACTTTTAAAAAAATTGCTGAATACAAAATGTTTGAAAATTTTAATTTTCTTTATGTGTGAAGACACATAAAGTATGGGGGGAATACAAGCGAAACTAACTTTTTGTAGATAGCCATTTCATTCCTTTAAACTGTTTCAATGCCAATATGTATTCTACAAAAGAGAATGGTTTTAGGCTCCAGTGTTATACTTTTTATATATATATATATAAATAAATTTTACGTAGTGAAATCTACCAAGTCTTTTCTGGAATTATTATAAATATTTTAGTTTTATTTTCTCATCAGTCTCTCCCTAATTTCCCATTTTAAGGTTTGCAAATATTAGTGTATGGATGCTTTATTTCATTAAACCTCACTCCTCAAAGGTAACATGCAATTTAGTTGTTATATGAGAGTCTTTTTTTTAATGTACAAAAAAAAAGCCTATGTGAATCCGTTGATAAAACTTAAAATTCCAGGCTAGGCATGGTGACTCACACCTGAAATCCCAGCACTTTGGGAGGCCAAGACAAGCGGATCACTTGAGGTCGGGAGTTTGAGACTAGCCTGGCCAACACGGTGAAACGTCATCTCTACTAAAAATATAAAAATAAGCCGGGTGTGGTAGCGTACACTTGAAATCCCAGCTACTCAGGAGGCTGAGGCAGGAGAATCGCTTGAACCTAGGAGGCGGGGGTTGCAGTGAGCTGAATTTGTGCTACTGTACTCCAGCCTGGGCAACAGAGTAAGACTCTGTCTCAAAAAAAAAAAAAAAATTTTTTTTTTTTAAATCCCAATTTGGAGAAGGGGGAAGGAGAAAATAATTTTTTTTTAAAAACCCCAATTTGTTTTCTCACTCTTTTATTGGATCTACTTAGAACATAGTATACATATGTGTTTATTATGTTTGTAAATGGTAGCTACTTGAGAAACTATGTGTTTATTTTGTTTGTAAATTCATGTCTACTTGAAAAAGCAAAAAGAAAAATAATAGTTATCAGTAGTATCATTGGAAAATTAAGAAGAGAGAAGGGACAAAACTGAGCAGCAGAATTCACATAGGCATTTAAGTTTAAATTCTAAAAGCCCAATTAAGATTTTTCAGGGAGGGTTTGTTTTGCCCTTTGTCCATTTGTGTCTACCAAGGGTTTCATGGATGAGCTTCAGTGGCCTATAAACTCCATAAAATTATATTCTAAGTTTTGCACATGTATTTTGTTCTGGATTAATCCCAGAAGACATTTCAAACATTTTTCTTACATCATGTAACAGAAGTACTTCACTAAATTGACATTTATAAAAATAGATCAGTGAAATGCATATTATACTTCAATTAAAATGTTTTCAGAAATAGATAAGTGTAAGCTGAGTGTTTCTTTGATAGGTTCCCCCCCCCATACTATAGGAGTGATAATTGCAGCTACTGCAATAGTAGTAATTATTAAACAGATACTAATGAATAGCATAGCATAGTGGGTAAGAGTTTATACAGCACAGGATTCCAGAAATAGATTAAGTAGGTTCAAATACCAGTTCTGCCAGCAACTGGTTTTAGAACCTTGGGCAAGTTAAATAATGTCTCCCAGCCTCAGTTTCCCTGTTTGTAAAATAAGGGAAATAGTGGTAGCTACCTCATAACTCATCATGAATTCAGTGAATTAAACACGAAAAGACTTATTATAGTAGCTGGCACATAGACTTGATAGTAGCTTATATGGATGCTATGTCACATTAGCATATACGGAATTAATAGTGTATCACTATACTTTTTTTTATTTGAGACAGGGTCTCATTCTGTCACACAAGCTGGAGTACAGTGGTGACATCATAGCTCACTGTAACCTCTAACTCCCACACTCTAGCAATCCTCTTGCCTCAGCCTCCGGATTAGCTGGGATTACAGGTGTGCACCACCACACTCAGCTATTTTTTTTTTTTTTTGGTAGAGACAGGGTCTCACTATATTACCCAGGCTGGTCTCAAACTCCTGGCCACGAGCAATCCTCCCACTGGCCTGTTGGAATTACAGGCCTAAGCCACTGCGCCTGGCCTGTACTATCCTATCAGTTCCATATATGGAAAGGTGTTTTCCCTAGCTCTTTAAAGCTCTGCAAAAGATTTACATGTGTTTATAGAGCTAAGAGAAATCAGGCCATGGAAACTAAGTAATAGAAATTAAACTCTTCATGTTACATAATCATGATTAATTTCTATCTTCATTCTCTGAAGTTACCTAGAACACCATCAACAGTTAGGAAACTTCTATCATGAATTACCTTATTTCCAAAAGCAAGTACCCAAATAATTGTCTCAAGAAAGGAAGGACAGACTGTTACAGGCTAAAATATTTGGGAATTTGTGTTACATGATTAGGGAACCGCAGGGTTTTATGATGCCTGATCTATCCCTGTGCCTAATAGTTTATTTAAATCTTAATGCTAATGTTAATTGGTTCCCAGGTGGTTGACCTTTTAAGAAAACACTGTGTAGTATTTTTAATGTGGTAAACATGTGGGTTTTACGGGTGGAAGGAACTTTACCAGGTTTTCGTTCTTGTCATTAGATATCAGAGAACTGAAATTGGTTGGAATTGTAAGCAGTGAATCGATGTGTTGTTAGAATGATTCCATTACTTATACATTGTTTAAAATTCTAATAAAGTAACTTCCTTTCTAAGAACTCATTAGAGTGGACTTTTGTTGTCTCCATTGTACATTTGATAAAACTGAAGCTTAGAGAGGTAAGAAACTTGCTTTAGTCAGTAATTGGCAGCCGGGACTGCAGCCCTAGGTCTATTCCATTCTAAAACCTCTGCTCTTAGCCACTCTGCATGACTTCGCATTCATTTGTGTTTGCTGTAGTACTCCCCTGGAAAACACCCATCTTCCTCTTCCCTTCCTCTCAGAAATTTAGCCCTATATTAGAAGCGGTCCCCTCCTTATGCTGAGAAGGGCCTGTTTTGCCATCCGTCGGCAGAAGGAACACCTTCAGAAATCTCTTCCTTATTGGGAATAGCTGCTTGAGATCTTGAGTGCACGAATATTGCAGAACCTAATTTTAGCACTTAAGTTCCTTTTTTTTAAGAGACGGTTTCACCATGTTGGTCAGGCTGGTCTTGACTCGATTTCAGGTGATCCGCCCGCTTCGGCCTCCCAAAGTGCTGGGATTGCAGGCGTGAGCCACCGCGCCCGGCCTAGTTCTTCATTTCTTAAGCTTAGAGTTAGATACTCCAATACGGCAATTTTCCAAAATGCCGAGAGGGAATTAAATAAACATAATTACATTAAGAATTTAACGTCTTTCTGGGTGATGGGAAAATAAGTAAGTTTGAACTACTGTGAGAAGACAGTCTGACTCCACAGCAGCCAAAGTGGCCCTTAAAACGTAGACTCCATCCCTCCCGGCTGGGCCGGCCTCCTGTGCCTGCCCCTCACTGGTCCCACGTTCTGCGCACCTGTAAATCCTGGGATGTAATCCCTAGTTTAGGGTCGGTCCGCGCCCCAATGTCCGCCGGCGCTCGGGGAGGGGCGGGATTTGCAGTTGCGGCAATCCCGATTATTGTGTTCACTACTCAGGGTGCCTCAGATACACCCTCAGCGTAAGCGGGGGCGAGGAGAACAGTGGACAGGGTGTGTCTCCAGGCACCGGCTCATTGCCGTGGCTCGAGAAACCGACTCAGCTGTTGCCGCGGCTCGGGAAACCGACTCAGCTATTACCGCTGCGACTGCGGTGTCTACCGGACGGGCCGCAGGCGTGCGCACGCGCACCCGCACCCGCGCGCCGGCCGTCGGTCACGTGGCCCCCGGCCAGGGCTTGCGAAGCCGGAAGTGTCCTGGGGCTCGAGGAGGCCGCGGGAGCCCGCCGAGGGTGGCGCGCCGGAGACCCGGCTGGGTAAGTGAGACGGCCGCTAGCGGAGGGACCGAGGCGGCGCGAGGCGCGGTCGGTCGGGCCTGCGCCGCCGGGCGGGGAGCGCTCCCGCTCTCTGTGGGAGGTTGGGATGCTGAGTCAGAGCCGGGGCGGGGGCGGGCGCACTGAGAAGCCCCGCGCGACCCGAGGCCAAGCCGTCCAGGACCCTGACTGCGCGGACACTGCCTCGGGGGTGTGTGTCAGGGGCGGCCGCAGCCGGTGGAATAGTCGCGCGGGCCCTGTCTCCTGCATCCCCTGCATCTCCGCTCTTAGGCGCGCGGCCGGCCCTCGACCTGCATCCCGCCCGGCGGCGTTGGGCACAAAGAGGACAACTCGTTACCGGGCCTGGGCCCTGGCTGCCCGGGGAGGCAGGGACACCTTTTTCCCTTGGAGTTAGGCTCGTTGTTTTCTGCCCTGTTTCAGAGCGTCGACACGACTAGCAGTTTTTAGATGGATTGATTTTTTTCAGAGGATTAGAAAGAGACGTTTCTTAGAGGTTTAGTTATGTTCAGTCAGCAGAGATTGACTCACACCGGAAACCAGAAGCATAAGATGTTTTAAATATATGCCGATAAAATACGAATTCCCAGACCTTTCATTGCTCCTCGTTTACCTAGCTTATGGGTTTAATTTGTAATCTCTATCCCGGGCAATTTTAGTAGGTGGCCTCAAAACAACTCCCAAGCAATTGCCAAATGTATAACCAAAGACTGGTCTTTTCTACTCTGGAACCCCCAGTGTGTGATTCACATAGGGGTAGGGTTTGAAAATCCTGGAACTTTGTCTATAGACCATGTCATCAAACCTGTTTTTAATCCCTGAACGAATAGTAACTTTCGTTTTGGACGGCATGGTATAAGGAAGTAGAATGAAGACGGCATCATCAACATACTTGTTGACTGCCTGCTTATATGCTCGTCAAAAATTTGGGAAGATTTATATGGCCAGCACCTTGTGGGTGTGCTGAGTCATGTTTTAGCATGTTGTGGAGTTATCGGAAGATAGTTTCAAAAGACATTTCCCCTGTGATGACTGTTGAATAGAAACCATAGTTTTGTGTCTGCATAGAGAACAGATATCTTAACTGATAAATATTTTTCTTATTATCCTGATGGTACATACACATAGGTACCTAATGGTACTATTTGTCATTTACAGTTTTCTGAAACAGCAGTTACATTGATTAGGGAAGGTTTTTCATTGGATAGTTGAGACATTTATTACTGTATTGTGAATGAAATGTAATAACTGACAAATGTGTATTCCTTATTTGTGAAAAAGGAATCTTATTTTTATTGCTTATTTCCAGTAGTGGTATATAAAATTTATCTGAATTAGATGGGTAGTAAAATTATATAAAAATATCCTACTGTGTCAGTGATTGGTAAAATTGAGACCCCCCTGACCATTCTGTATATTCCTAACCCAACTTGGGATATTGGTGGTCATTAATTCATCACAGAATACCTAGTCTAGCATACTTCTTTTTGCTTTAACTTACTGTGGAGGGAAATTAAAATCCATGTTTTGATATGACAGTACAGCAGGTTTAAAGGAGCATGATGGGGCTACTGTTTGTGCTATGTTAGCATACATGGATTTTAGTCCAAGGTGGAACTTGGTTACTTTGTATACCTTGATGGAGACATAGCTTTTCAGTATTAAAGACTTGGCAATATAGGCTACTTGGTATGTTTACATATTTATACTTGGAGGTTGGGGAAACCATCCTTAAATTGATTTCAGAAGAGTTCATACCTTTTCAGGAATAATAATTTTTATACCTTTCCTTTATGCTTGTCAGGTTCTATGTAGATGAAATTTTAGCTCATGGAAATATTATGCAAGGGCAACATTTGTTTTCTTTATTGTTTCCCTGCCCTGAAGGAAACAAAGTAATTTTTTCTGTATTTGTTTTATTTTACATTATTACTTTTCTTTATCTTAAAACATTTTAAGCCAGGCGCAGTGGCTTATGCCTGTAATCCCAGCACTTTGGGAGGCCAAGGCAGTCGCATCATGAGGTCGGATCATGAGGTTGGGAGTTCAAGACCAGCCTAGCCAACATAGTGAAACCTTGTCTCTACTAAAAGTACAAAGAGCTTGCCGGGTGTACTGGTGGGTGCCTGTAATCCCAGGTACTTGGGAGGCTGGGGCAGGAGAATCACTTGAACCTGGGAGGTGGAGGTTCTGGAGGTAGAGATTGTGTCACTGCACTCCAGCCTGAGCAATAGTATGATACTCCATCTTAAGAAAAACAAACAAAAAACACTATGTCATAGATTAATCTTTCAAAACGTTTCAAGGAGGTGAGTAACAGTATCACTCTCATTGACAAAGACTAAATTAGAAGAGAAATAGATGTTTTTTTCAGACCTGTGATAAGTGAATTAAATGGAATGTTATTGGTTAATGTTTTTTTCAAAGCCCACACAGCATTTTAGCTTTGAATATTGCCACAAACTTAGTTTTTTGTTTGTTTGTTTGTTTGAGATGAGTCTTGCTCTGTCTCCCAGGCTAGAATGGGGTGGAATGGGATGGCACGATCTCTGCTCACTGCATCCTCCACTTCCGGGTTCAAGTGATTCTCCTGCCTCAGCCTCCGGAGTAGCTGGAATTACAGACACCTGCCACCGTGCCTGGCTAATTTTTGTACTTTTTGTGGAAACAGAGTTTTGCCATGTTGGCGAGGGTGGTCTCAAACTTCTGACCTCAGATGATCCACCCACCTCAGCCTCACAAAGTGCTGGGAGTATAATAGGCATGAGCCACTGCTCCCAGCTGAAACTTAGATTTTTTTTTTGGTCATATTATTGTATTTTATTATCGTACGCGTAGTATATAATAACATAAAGGGAAGAAATGTAAACAAAATGAAAGTTGTGGAGAAAATGGCATCTTGCTTTAATCTTCAACTTAAAGTTACTCTTAACAATCCATTTATACTGTTATGTCAAATTTTAGTCATCCCTACAGAATTTTAGACCAATAAAAACGGTCAAGGTAACACCAAAAATATAAGCACAGAAAGTGATGTTAAAAAGTTGAAAGTAAAATCTACCTTGAGATTAGAACGGAACATTCAGATTTGTCTCTCCAGAGGAAAATCTAACTTGAGTCATAATGGTTCATATTTTGACTAGTTCATACCATATCAGTTAGCAACTTATGACTTGAAAATACTTTGAAACTTAGATTTTTTTTATTGAACTGTTTATATACTTCGATTTAGCAACAGATAATGGGTGATCTTACTTGAAATTAAAAACAGCTAAATTTGTTTTTTAGCTGTATTATTCCCTTAAAACATATTTGTAAATCTTTTTTTTTTTTCCTCTTAGTATAACAAGAGAATCTCCTGATCCAGTCAAGATGCAGAGCACTTCTAATCATCTCTGGCTTTTATCTGACATTTTAGGCCAAGGAGCTACTGCAAATGTCTTTCGTGGAAGACACAAGGTTGGTACAGAGAACACTTTGAAGGTCTTTTATCACTGTATGTATTTTATTCTAAGATGCATGCTTACACTAAAATGTGAGACTTGGTGATTTTGATTCCTTTGTCTGAAGAAATTGTTTTAATGATTTTTATGGTTATTTAAGGCATAGTTATGTCAGGCAGTGAACATATCTACCCAGTGGTGGCAGAGGTTAAGTGTCAGTGAGTGGGGGAAAACAGATTGGTTGAAAATGGACTGGGAAAGATTAGTTTTGTGCCTTTTGATGCTTCTCCAGCCTAGCTTCCCTATAGTAGAGAGTGATTTTGCTGACAAGTTCAGTGTAATGATTTGGGGTAGCATTTGATGTGGCATTTTCGATGGTAGGGAGGCAGATGTGTAGTTGGAGGGGAACTCACAGGTGTTTCTGTTATACTCTGATAATGGTAGGTGCCCCCACTAAAATGGCATCCTACAAAGTAGATTGGAGTAAAATGAAATTCTCAACAAGGATCCCAGGTTGAAAAGACTATGTTTTGGTATGAGGTAATCAGAACCTGATAGTGGAAGTGGGAATAGAATAAAATGATTATTCCCAGAGGCACTTCAAGAACCAGAAAGGATTTTGTGTCAGATTCGATACGGAGGATGAAATTAAATATAGTTAAAATAATTTAAAATGAGGAAATAGAAGATAATTAAACTTTCTATCCTGGGAAAGAAGCTGGAAAAACAGAGTCTATTCTGGGAAAGAAGCTGGAAAAATGGAGTACTTCTAAAAGTTCTTTTAGAACACAAATAATAACTAATTTTTCAGTCTTAAGAATTTGTTTTGAGCTAAATGATGTTTAGAGCTTCCTAAATTCTTACCTTCAGAACTAGGGCCCAAAACGTTTTAGTAGAGAGGGATTGCTTCCTCTTTTTCTGTATTCTTGAGACTACCAGTCAGTTCTGTCAGTGACGATGAGATAAGCATGCATAGAGAAGGGCTGTTTCCTATGGGGAGAGAATATTGACTATAAATGCCCTTTATGGCTCATAGAGAATGAATCAGAAGTACCATATGGACAGCTTTTAGCTTTCCTCCCCTGCATCTAGAATTGTCCACAAGCTCTGGATTCTTATTCAGTTTACTTTTGATCAATCCTGGGTATCCCATCCTAGAAACTGCTTTTATTTTATGCCAAGGAGAAAGTGACTAGTGACTCAGAATTTAGCATTGAGAACACATCTGATCATCTTATCTTTCTGTAGTCCAAATTAACAAACTTTAATAATCACTTGGTATATGTCAGGCACTATGGCAGACCTAGTGAATATAACTGTAGCTAATGTGCAGTCCCTGGACACAGTTTCGAGTTTAGTAGCAAGATGGATTAGAAAGGAAGTAAATTGGAAGCTGATGGGATAAGAGATAGTCAATAGTGATAGAGACTAGGTGAGACACATTGAAAGGGCCTGGCACTAGATGATATGTCACATATAGTAGTCCTCTTCCCTTAGATACTCAGTGTCCTTCACGTTAGTGCCTACACATAATATGCACTCTATAAATGTTAGCTGAATGAAATAATAAGTGAATGAATGAGGACTGATTAGATTACTCCAAGATAACCTGAAGTTCTTCAAAGGAAATAGAGATGTACTTTACCCATTATAGTGTGGAAATCAAAAATGAGGATTTGAGAAGTATAAGAATTAATTAAAAGATTGACAAGTCGGGTGTGGTGCTCACACCTATAAACCGAGCACTGTAGGAGGCTGAAGCAGGTGGATTGCTTGTGTCCAGGAGTTTTGAGACCAGCCTGGGCAACATGGCAAAACCCTGTTTCTACTAAAAATACACATGCACACACACACACACAAAGATTGCCAAGGCACAGTCTAGTATTTAGTCCCCAACAGTTTTCCTAGGGGTGTGCTTTGAGAATGTTTGTTCTTAATGACAGTAATTTCTAGTGCTGAGGACTATATTCTCCAAAAACTCCCATTTCCACTTAACTATTTAAAGGATTTTTACCATGATATTAGCCCTTTTATATTATTGCTTAGAGTGACCAAATTCTTTGTTTGTTTGTTTTTGAGACGGAGTTTCACTGTTGTTACCCAGACTGGAGTGCAATGGCACGATCTCGGCTCACCGCAACCTCCGCCTTCTGGGTTCAAGCAATTCTCCTGCCTCAGCCTCCCGAGTAGCTGGGACTACAGGCGCGCACCATGCGCAGCTAATTTTTTGTATTTTTAGTAGAGACAGGGTTTCACCATGTCGACCAGGATGGTCTCGATCTCTTGACCTCGTGATCCACCCGCCTTGGCCTCCCAAAGTGCTGGGATTATAGGCGTGAGCCACCACGCCTGGCCAACCAAATTCTTACATTTATTACTTGTTACTCAAAGTATATTACCCACTGAATCTCTTTTTCATTAAACTGCTTTTAGCTACTAATGTATGAATGTGAGTATGTGTATATGTGTGTGATTACCATGGTGAAGTTGAAGGGAAGAGAGTTGAAGGATGTGTTGATCTGCACATATGGAGATATATGTAGATATAAATATATATGGATCTCTATTATTTGTATACACTTTAACTTAGTGAATAATAGATAACTGTGTAGGTGAATAAAGGGAAAATGGTATGTTTCCACCTATATCCAGATAATCCCACAGGTATGATGTAGTCTACACAAGTTTGGAAAATAATGACCATGAGCCCAGTGAGTGTATTGCAACATTGTATCATTTTTCCTGCTTGCTCTTTTGCTAGGATTCTCCTAGTTTTAGACTGAGTTTGAGGCCTGTTTCAGCTTAAGAAAAATCTCTTGGGTTTGGCAGTAGATTTGGCAGTCTTTACCCTTGCTGAACAAAGGGAAATACAGTGGAACTGAACTATGAATTCTTCTCTTTTCATATGTCTGAAAATGGTAATTGACTCTATCTTTCATTTTCCTCTGGAAAGAATATACATCAGTTTGTATATTTGGCATGACCAGGGTGAGGGGAATCACATAGGATTATGAAGCAGTTAAATGGCCTTAAGAAAAGCATCATGCAGTTCTGGAGTGAGAGAAGAGGATGATAGCCCTTAGTGGTGAATCTGTGGAAGGTATAAAGAGGGCTCCAAAGCAGGAACAGTATAGAGGTCCTTACAGAGAGCCATGAAGTGTCTTTAGCAATGGGGTGCTTGAGCCCCAGGTTCAAAGAGAAAGGATTTTCCCATTTGCTGTAGGGAACTTCAACCTTGGATGAATGGGGGAAAATGTAAGGCTAAATTCAAGATCTGGGCTGGGCACCAGGGAGAGACTTGCCCTTTAGAGTGATTGGAAGGAAGTGGGAGGGTCTGAAAAAGAGTCTTAAAGGAAGGGTTAGTAAGAACATGTGAATATGATGTTTACCTGAAATTTAAGTATGTGTTTTGAATCTCTAAGATTCCCTCCCAACTATAGCTGTGCTTTGTAATTCTGTGTGTGATCTACTTCAGTAGGTCGTGAAAGAGTGAGAGTGGGATGCTGTAGTACATCAGTAGAGAAGAAGAAGTAAATGCCTTTAATCCTCTAGAGAGAGTCTGTGAAGGAACAGCCTGTCCTGGTCATCTGGGCAGAGTTGCAGAAAGTAACCCAGGGCAGCAGGGGTAGCGTTGAACCAACTACTTTAGCTTTACTCTGTAGCTCCTGCTCCTCCTACCCGCCTCCTCCACATTGTCTTAGTTACAAAATATTCCTGAAAAGTTAATTGTATTACTTTGAAATTCTTGATAAAAATCTCATAGGTGGAATATAGTGTTCAGTCTCTCTGTCCTGCTTTGATGAGTTTTAAATTATTAGGCTTTGGAGAAGCCATCGTGAGTTTCACTTTCTATTTCATATCTAAAAGGTTTTGCTTTTGATACTATTATAGATTTTATCTTCTGCTGTGTGACTATTTTTGCCACTAGTATATCCTCATGGAAGCTTTATTTATAATATGAAAAAAAAATAGCCTTTTCTAAATTCCAAAAGGTATAATTTGAAAGAAATGTTGAGTAGTTAATTGATTCATTTTAATTTTTTAGACAAGTCAGGGTCTCAGTACAGAGTCCATGTGCCTAAACGATGCATGATGTTCTATAAGAAAATAAGTTGCTGTAGCTAGTCCTAATGCTACCTTTTAATCTCTTTTATAATATTATGAATAAATAAAACATTTTTCTTTTTTTTTTTTTAAGAAAACTGGTGATTTATTTGCTATCAAAGTATTTAATAACATAAGCTTCCTTCGTCCAGTGGATGTTCAAATGAGAGAATTTGAAGTGTTGAAAAAACTCAATCACAAAAATATTGTCAAATTATTTGCTATTGAAGAGGAGGTAAGTAGTAAAACTTGAGTTAATCTTATATTTCTTGTAGTTATGAGTCAAGAGATAGAATCTAATATTAAAAAATAGATTTTCTAAAACTGTTGAAAAGTAGAGTTTGTACAATTACTTTATCCTAAAGGATTCTTGAATAAATAGAACAATAAAAATAAAATATCATAAAAATGGGATCAGAAACATTAGTATAAGAAATAAAAGGGGGCCAGGCGCAGTGTGGCTTATGCCTATAATCCAGCACTTTGGAAGGGCAGGGCTGGAGGATCACTGGCATTCAGGAATTAGAGAACAGTCTGGGCAACATGGCGAAACACTGTCTCTGTAAAAAAATACAAATATTAGCCAAATGTGCGCCTGTAGTTCCAGCTACTCAGGAGGCTGAGGTGGGAGGATTACCTGAGCCTGAGAGGTCAAGGCTATGGTAACCATATTGCACCACTGTACTCCAGCCTGGGTGATGGAGTGAGATCCTATCTCAAAAAAAAAAAAAAGGAAAGAAAAAAAAGAAGGAAAAGTGTATTGAATATGGTTACCAATATTACTGTTAGCAAAAGAAAGGTAACAAGTTAAATCAACATAATTACAAAAAGAAAAAATCAAACTTTTAAAAGAATAAACATTTTTTATTTTGTAAAAAATAAAAATTTCAAGTGTACTGGAGTTTAAGATATGAAGTCCAATTATAAGAGAATTGATTTTTTTAAGGGGAAGTAGTGAAAGTAAGAATGTCATTAGGAAAAGTAATCTAGAAATAATGGAAATATAAATTATATTAATCCCTTTAAATATGAGCAGTCAATAAAATATTTGGGGAAAATGTAGTTTATACTCTTTATCCTAGTGATTTTATTTTTAGTGTTTATTAGGAAGTAATCAGAAATACAGTTTTAACCATAAAGATGTGAATTGATGTCCTGTTTATAATAAAGAATGGTTAAATATGTAGAGTAAATTAGAATGTGTGGCAGATAGCTACCTGAAGTTAGCCAAACTCAAGGTTAAGAGCATAGCCCTACTGCTCAAGACTTCTGATATCCATTGCAAAGGAGTTTGGCAAACTGCACGGTCAGAGAGAAGTTCCCACAAGACTACCCTTACATCATACCAGCTAGCTACAAATATGGGGGTTTACCATGACACTCAGATTTGGTAATTTGCTGGAATGTAGAATGACTCACAAAACTCAGAAGAATGCTGTACTTAAGATTGCAGGGTTTTTTTGTAGCAAAAGGATACAAATTAGAGAACCAGCCAGAGGAGACACAAAGCGTGGAATGTGGGAGGGTTTCAGACTTGAAGCTTCTTTGTCCTAAGGGATATATCACTCTCTCAGCATTGATGTATGACAATATGCATGGAGTATTGCCAGTTGGGGAAGCTCACTCAAGCCTTTGGTGTCCAGGGTTTTTACTGAGGCTGGATCACTTATTGCCTGTATTGCTGATCTTTAGTCCCCAGCCTCTTCCAGAGGTTTGGGATAATTCCTTTAGACTCCATTTCCTCTGGAGGGCAGAGCTGATACGATGTATTCTGAAGTTCCCCTCATGAATCACGCTCTTAGACTATCCAGTGGCCAAAGCCCCCAGAGGAACAAAGACAGAAGTCTTGTTCTTTCAGATGGGACATTTCAAGAACCAGAGATCACTTTCCAGTAGCCAAGGGAAAAACCTGACTTCTCTTTGGGTAAAGTTAATTTTTTACTGCCCAGTAGTTAAGTGGTAACGAAAAGAGGTATTTACCAAAATTTTAATCTTCTTGGAACACCTTTTATATGATGTTATATGAAAAGAATCGGGATTAAAAATATATCTATAGTATGATCTTAATATATACAGTGTGATATACAGACAACATTATGTATCTATGACATTATTTGATCCATAGACAAAAGACTGAAAGGAAGTACACCAACATATTAATTCATTATCTCCACGTAATGGAATTATGTATATTTCATCATTTAAAAGCAACATTTTGGCCGGGTGAGGTGGCTCACCCCTGTAATCCCAGCACTTTGGGAAGCCCAGGCAGGCAGATCACAAGGTCAGGAGATTGAGACCATCCTAGCCAACATGATGAAATCCCGTTTCTAAAATAATAATAATAAATTAATTAATTATTTTTTTTTTTTTTGAGACCAGGTTTCACTGTTGTTACCCAGACTGGAGTGCAATGACATGATCTCGGCTCACCACAAACTCTGCCTCCTGGGTTCAAGCAATTCTCCTGCCTCAGCCTCCCAAGTAGCTGGGACTACAGGCGCACACCACCATGCCCAGCTAATTTTTGTATTTTTAGTAGAGGCGGGGTTTCACCATGTTGACCAGGATGGTCTCGATCTCTTGACCTCGTGATCCACCCGCCTCGGCCTCCCAAAGTGCTGGGATTATAGGCGTGAGCCACTGCGCCCAGCCTTAAATTTTTTTTTTAAAAGCAACTTTTTTTGAGCCAGTGTGGTGGCTCACACTTGTAATCCCAGCACTTTGGGAGGCCGAGGCAGGTGGATCACAAGGTCAGGAGACTGAGACCATCCTGGCCAACATAGTGAAACCCCAACTCTACTAAAAATAGAAAAAATTAGCTGGGCATAGTGGCGTGCGCCTGTAGTCCCGGCTACTTGGGAGGCAGGGAAATCACTCCAACCCAGGAGGCGGAGGTTGCAATGAGCCAAGGCAGCGCCACTGCACTCTAGCCTGGCGACAGAGCAAGGCTCCATCTCGAAAAAAAAAAAAGCAACGGCTTTTTGTTTTCCTGTTATAATTATTTCTCTCTCTCTCTTTTTTTTTTCTGTTTTGTTTTTTGAGACGGTGTTTCGCTCTTGTTACCCAGGCTGGAGTACAATGGCACGAACACGGCTCACCGCAGCCTCCGCGTCCTGCGTTCAAGCAATTCTGCCTCAGCCTCCTGAGTAGCTGGGATTACAGGCACGCGCCATCATGCCCAGCTAATTTTTTGTATCTTTAGTAGAGACGGGGTTTCACCAATTTGACCAGGAGGGTCTCAATCTCTTGACCTCGTGATCCACCCGCCTTGGCCTCCCAAAGTTTTGGGATTACAGGCTTGAGCCACCGCGTCCGGCCCTCTTTCTTTTTTAAAATGACTGCCAGAGAGTAATTTAAAATATTTTATAAAAGTGTTTTGGGGATATGTAGAAAAAAATTAAAAAGAAAGAAAGGATAAAAAGTTGCACATGAATAGTAGATTTTAAGACTCGTTCACATTTTCAGGTTCTGAAATTAGCATACACAATCATTGTGTATATATAATTTGATGGGCCAGGCGTGGTGGCTCACACCTGTAATCCCAGCACTTTGGGAGGCTGAGGCAGGCAGATCACGAAGTCAGAAGATTGAGACCATCCTGGCTAACACAGTGAAATCTCATCGCTACTAAAAATACAAAAAATTAGCTGGGCATGGTGGCACGCACCTGTAGTCCCAGCCCCTTGGGAGGCTGAGACAGGAGAAATGCTTGAACCTGGGAGGTGGAGGTTGCAGTGAGCCAAGATTGTGCCACTGCATTCCAGCCTGGGCAACAGAGCAAGACTCCATCTAAAAAAAGAACAAGGAAAAGAAAAATTAGCCAGGCATGGGGGTGCATGCCCATATTCCCAGGTACCTGGGAGGCTGAGGCGGAAAAATCCCTTGAACCTTGGAAGTGGAGGTTACAGTGAGCCAAGATCGCAACCATTGCACTCCAGCCTAGGTGACAGAGTGAGACTCTGTCTCAAGAAAAAAAATTTAAGATAATTTTAACAGAACCATTGTAACATTGTGCTAGTGATTATGTAGTTCAGAATTAGCTAGTTTTTACCGTGGTTTGTCTTCTAAAACAAATCCAACTTAATAGGAATTTGGAAGATGTTAATTCTTATACGTGTATGGTCAGCAGATACAGAATCTCAGGTAAAGCAAAGTGCCTTCATCATTGTAGCAAATCCTGCATTTAAATGAAATCAGATAAGTACTGGCATATAATCAAAATTTATTTTTTATGTTCATTCCCAAGCAATGATTTTTGTTTTCAGACAACAACAAGACATAAAGTACTTATTATGGAATTTTGTCCATGTGGAAGTTTATACACTGTTTTAGAAGAGCCATCTAATGCCTATGGACTACCAGAATCTGAATTTTTAATTGTTTTGCGAGACGTGGGTATGTTTATTTATATGATTTCATTTATATATAAAATTTAATAACATAGAATTAAAAAAATATATCTTACATTCAAAACTGAAGACCTTTATGCAATGCTTCCTTAGACATGACACCAAAAGCACAGATACCAAAAATAAATACATAAATTGGACTTCAACAACATTGAACTTTTTTGTGCTTCAAAGGACATCAGATAAGTGAAAAGATAGCCCATAGAATGAGAAAAAAATGTTTGTAAGTCATACACCTCACAAGGAATTTTTATCCAGACAACTCAACCATAAAAAGCTAAACAACTCAATTTAGAAATGGGCAAATGTCACATAGACATTTCTCGAAAGAAGATACACAAGTGGCTAACAAGTACATAAAAAAATGCTCAATATTATTCGTCATTAGGGAAATGCTCATCAAAACCACAATGAAATACCACTTTATACCAACAGAAATGACTAATATCAAAAAAGACAAACAGGGCCAACCATGGTGGTTCACACTTGTAATCCCAGCACTTTGGGAGGCGGAGGCAGGCAGATTGCTTGAATCCAGGAGTTCAGGATCAGCCTGAGCAACATAGTGAGACCCCGTCCCTACAAAAAGTAAAATAAAAAGTAGCCACGCATGGTGGCATGCACCTGTAGTTTCAGCTACTTGGGAGGTTGTGGTGGGAAGATCGCTTTAACCCAGGATATTGAGGCTGCTGTGAGCAATGATTGTGCCACCGCACTTCAGCCTGGGCAATAGAGCAAGACCTTGTCTCAAAAAAAACAAAATGAAGTCAAACAACAAGTGTTGGCAAGAATATGGAGAAATTGGAACCCTCATATGTTGCTGGTAGGATTGTAAAATGATACAGCCATTTTGGAAAACAGTCTAGAAGTTCCTCAAAAAGTTAAATATATGATTATTTAACTTTTGACCAAATAACCCAGCAATTCCACTGCTACATATATACCCCAAAGAATTAACATATCCATATAAAAACTTATACTCCAGTGTATTTAGCAGCATTGTTCATAATAGCAAAAAAACAAAACAAAACATGGGAACAGCCCAAATGTCCATCAACTGATGAATAGATAAACAAAAATGTAGTATGTCCATACAATGGAATGAATATTATTTGTTTACAACAAGATATGAAGTAGGCTGGGTACAGTGGCTCATACCTGTAATCCCAGCACTTTGGGAGGCTGAGGCAGGCGGATCACGAGGTCAGGAGATCAAGACCATCCTGGCCAACATGGTGAAACCCCATCACTACTAAAAATACAAAAAAAAAAAATTAGCTGGGTGTGGTAGTGCACACCTGTAGTCCCAGCTACTTGGGAGGCTGAGGCAGGAAAATTGCTTGAACCCAGGAGGCAGAGATTGCAGTGAGCCGAGATCACGCCATTGCACTACAACCTGGGCAACAGTGCGAGAATCTGTCTCAAAAAAATAAAAAGATAGGAAATAGTTATATAAGCTACAACATGGATGAACTTGAAAACATTATGCTAAGTAAAAGAAGCCAGACACAAAGGCTTCAATATTATATGATTTCATTTATATGAAATGTCAAGAATAGACAAATCCATAGAGACAGAAAGCAGATTAGAGGTTGTTGGGGGATTAACAGAAGATAGGTATGAGGTGTGTTTTTGGTATGACAAAAATATTCTGAAACTAGTGATATTTGTACAACTCTGTGACTATACTAAAAAAGTGAATTGTACACCTAAAAAAGGTGAATGTTATTTGTTAATTATATCTCGGTAAACCTATTCTTTAAAAATATTACAATCAAAGGAAATAACTTCTTGAAAGAAATGAATCAAATAGTTTAAGAATGGGAAAAGTCAAGTGATAAAGAAGGTAAAAGGTTGGTGGGAATCTTTGAACTTGACACTGGAAGCAGAGTGATTATTTAGGTGAGGTTACAATGAGAGAGAAACAGAATTAATATTACTAGTATGCTACAGCCTGTTAATCAAATAGAAATTATACATATGATATCTTCCTAAGTGTACTGATAGTCCTAAGTTTTAATAATTATACATTGATACTCCTAAACCTTTTACATATTTTGAATTTGAACATCCATCTATCAGCCATCAAGCAAATGTTTGAAGTTATCACTCAGTGATACTGCCTGTCAGTTAGACAAAATAGTTTAATTTCAGCAAAGTAGACAACTTTGCCCTTAAGAAAAAGAAAAGAAAATGGGCTTTTTGGAATAGTGCCAAGCATATGAGAATACATTTTTTATGGATACAAGTTTGACACTTTGCCATCTCTCTGTTTCTTTTTTGCTATTTTACATATTGAGTCCAGTTTACTTTTTAGGGAATTTTTTCTCAAAGAAATGTAAAACTCTGGTGAAAGATTGGTATCTTTTTTGGGAATCATTATTATTTTTGTTTAAACAGATCACACACATATACATAACCAAAGTAATTCAAGAAATCATACGCGGCCGGGCACGGTGGCTCACGCCTGTAATCCCAGCACTTTGGGAGGCCGAGGCGGGTGGATCACGAGGTCAACAGATCGAGACCATCCTGGTCAACATGGTGAAACCCCGTCTCTACTAAAAATTACAAAAAATTAGCTGGGCATGGTGGTGCGTGCCTGTAATCCCAACTACTCAGGAGGCTGAGGCAGGAGAATTGCCTGAACCCAGGGGGCGGAGGTTGCGGTGAGCCGAGATCGCGCCATTGCACTCCAGCCTGGGTAACAGGAGCGAAACTCCGTCTCAAAAAAAAAAAAGAAATCATACGCTTAAGACTCCTGTTACATTTCCCTGGTAGTACTTAAGAGACATTGGATTCTTCCTTAGACCACATTAATTTTTATCATTCTAAAACTTCTTATAACTAAAACATACTCTGTTATTTGAGTAAAATGAACCAAATTATGGAAAAACTTACATTGTTTGGGTAAATATATCAATGAATTTGGAACATGCACACATACACATAAATATCTATGTTATGACTTCTTTTGTTTTATATTGTTGAAGTGGGTGGAATGAATCATCTGCGAGAGAATGGCATAGTGCACCGTGATATCAAGCCAGGAAATATCATGCGTGTTATAGGGGAAGATGGACAGTCTGTATACAAGCTCACAGATTTTGGTGCAGCTAGAGAATTAGAAGATGACGAGCAGTTTGTTTCTCTGTATGGCACAGAAGAATATTTGGTAAGTCATGCATCACTAATATTTTCATTTAAAAAAGCTTGATATATTGTAATTATAATTGGGTAATCGGTCAGCCAATTTGCTATAAAATGTCATAATTTTTATGACAAAAATTAAATTTTCTATTCTAATGAATATGTGTAACATGGGAATTAGGTACTCATTTTTAAGGGTGCTATTATTTTTCTGTTAAAAATTCTTGGAAGTTTTATAGCACCCTTAAATTCTTTAGTTTTACTGGTGCTGTGGATCTATATTAAAAGGGTCCTTTTTTTGATGAGCAGTTAATATATGACAAGCTTGTCATAATACTGTTTCTTATATATGCATTATATTTATGAAACAGAAAATTGGGGGAGTTGGTTATTGAATGACCAAAAGGACCATTGTTAGAAATACACACACAAAATGCCCCCGAGAGGACCTAACTTGAAATTGTAGAAAGCTAGAAAAGTTCTGTGATTGAAAAAGTTTATATAGGTGTGTTTTTGTAAAGTCAGTAAATATTTGAAACATTTAAGAAAATATACTTAAAAGTAAATATTTTTAATGTGAATCTGTCACAGAATCTGTGACTTTTTTGCATTTGGATTGTGCTGTTGTAATTTTCTTTTTTTTTGAGATGGAGTTTCGCTCTTGTTACCCAGGCTGGAGTGCAATGGCGTGATCCTGGCTCACCGCAACCTCTGCCTCCTGGGTTCAAGCAATTCTCCTGCCTCAGCCTCCTGAGTAGCTGGGACTATAGGCACACGTCACCATGCCCAGCTAATTTTTGTATTTTTAGTAGAGACGGTGTTTCACCTTGTTGAAACCTACCTCTTGACCTGCTGATCCACCCGCCTCAGCCTCCCAGAGTGCTGGGATAATAGGCGTGAGCTACTGTGCGCGGCCATGCTGTTGTAATTTTATAAGATGAAAGATGTCTACTGGCCTCTGTAGCTTTATACAGATTATTCTAAGTCTGGCATGAACTAAGTATCTTTTTTTTTTTTTTTTTGAGACAGAGTCTCCGTCTGTCTCCAGGCTGGAGTGCAATGGAGTGTGATCTCGGCTTGCTGCAACCTCCGTTTCCCAGGTTAAAGTGATTTTCCTGCCTCAGCCTCCCGAGTAGTTGGGACTATGGGGACATGCCAACACCCCCAGCTAACTTTTTTATATTTATTAGAGATGGAGTTTCACCATGTTGGCCAGGATGGTCTCAATCTCTTGACCTCATGATCCACCTGCCTTGGTCTCCCAAAGTGCTAGGATTACGGGAATGAGCCAACCACCGTGCCTGGCTAAACTAAGTTTCTTACATTGTTATCCTAACAACTGATATCCCCAAATCTGTCTGTAGATATATGTGATCTTTTAGATAACAGTACTTAAGAATAGGTCAGGCGCAATGGCTCATGCCTATAATTCCACCACTTTGGGAGGCCAAGGCAGAAGGATTACTTGAGCCCAGGAGTTTAAGACCAGTCTGGGCACGATGACAAGATCCCATCTCTGCAAAAAATTATAAAATTAGCCAGGCATGGTGGCACACACCTGTAGTCCCAGCTACTCAGGAGGCTGAGGCAGAAGGATCTCTTGAGCCCAGGAATTTGAGGCAGCAATAAGCTGCAATTGTACCACTGCAGTCCCGCCTGGGCTACAAAGTGAGACCCTGTCTCTTAATTTTTTTTAAAAAAAAGGTACCCAGCCGGGTGCAGTGGCTCACACCTGTAATCCCAGCACCTTGGGAGGCCAAGGCAGGTAGATCATGAGGTCAGGAGTTTGAGACCATCCTGAGCAACATGGTGAAATCCCATCTCTACTAAAAATACAGAAATTAGTCGGGTGCATTGGCATGTGCCTGTAATCCCAGCTACTTGGGAGCTGAGGCAGAATAATTATTTGAACTCGGGAGGTGGAGGTTGCAGTGAACCAAGATAGCGCCACTGCACTCTATCCTGGGCAACAGAGAAACACTCCACCTTAGAAAAAAAAAAGATACCTAAAAATGGATTTTATTCATTCATTGCACAAATATTTATGAAGTGCCTACCAGATAAAATTATATACCAGATAAAATTCTAGGTACTCAGACTTCTGTGGTGAACCAGACACATAGTTTTCCTTCTCTTATGGAACCCACATTCAGGTAGGGAAAAAAAAGACAAGTAAAGTAAATTTAGATGATTAAAGTTTAGCAAAGACAACAAGGTAATAAGATTACCTTGACTAGCAGGAGAAAGATAGCCTGGGAAAGCCTCCTTTAAGGACTGAATGAACTGACACTGAAATGATAAAAAGCAGCAAGCCAGGCACACCATTCTGACTGCTATTCTGTGGCCATTCCCTGGCCCTGTGGAAGCTACCTCACCCTGCAGTAAAGAAGCTCAACCACCAGTCATCATACTCGTTGGCAGTTCGCTCCATCTCTGCTTGCTGTGTGCTACTGAACCCAGTGGCATCAGTTTGGCCTCCTCTTCCCTACATAGACCTGTGTTCTTGAGGGCCCAAGATGCCTATGGGGTCCTCTGGCTATCTGAGTTGTGGCATATGAACTGCTTTGTGATACAGTGACCTCTCTGTCATTGTGAATCTGGAGAATGTGTCATAGAACATAGATGGTATAGGAAATATAGTTATAATGAATTCACCTTCAAGCTTCCTGAGACTTGGCTGGAACAGAGACAGGACTCAAACATTTCTTTTCTTTCTTTCTCTTTTTTTTTTCTTTGAGGCAGAGTCTCATTCTGTTGCCCAGGTTGGAGTGCAGTGGCGCAGTCTCTGCTCACTGCAACCTCCACCTCCTGGGTTCAGATGATTCTCCTGCCTCAGCCCCCTGAGTAGCTGGGACTACAGGCACCCGCCACCATGCCCAACTAATTTTTTTGTATCTTTAGTAGAGACAGGGTTTCACCATCTTGGCCAGGCTGGTCTCAAACTCCTGACCTTGTGATCCGCCCACCTTGACCTCCCAAAATGCTGGGATTATAGGCGTGAACCACCGCGCCTGGCTGGACTCAAACATTTCTGATGAGTAGGCTTGATATCCTGAATTCTCCATGAGAATGTAAGCTCCACAAGAGCAGGGACTTTCATCTTAGCCTGCTGAGAACACCAAGCAGAGGTAGACAAGAAGAAATCACCTCCTTCCTGCTCCTTTCTGTGTCCTACATGACATTTGTGCTTTTGCTGTTTTCCTTTTGTCTCTTTTTTGGGCCTCAACACGTGACTGAGTCAACACACAAGCATCTTCATTCTCATTTCTCTATTGGTGGTCTTCTCAGTTACTTTTGGCTAGACTGTGCTTTCTGCTTTGAGAAGCAATGCAGCTGAATTCACACTGGAGTTTTGGTTCAAAGCAGCTTCCTGTTTTCTTCACTTTCCCCAGCTCAGACATTTGCTTTCCCTTTTTTCTTAGAGCAGTGAGCCTCCAATAAATAGCTCAAAACCATGTTCTCCCAGACAGCCTCCTTTCCAATAGCAAGCTCAAGCCCATGTCCTTTAAATTCAATTACTAGATAAGATAACTTGTTCAAAAATTCGGTTTCTCTCTGTTTCTCTCACCCAGTCCTTTTTTTCACCAACCCCTCTTTCTTTAAGAACAGCCTATTTCTAAAAGCTAGCTCACCACCCCCAGCTCCTTGTCTCGGGCTCACACCTGTCATGGCCAGAGCTGCAGTAGATGAGGGCTCAGAACACTGCCCTTCCCAGGAGGGCACTGCTTGCCCCAAGGTTCACTGCTCTAAGAATGTTCTTGGGCTTCAGTCTGGTTCCATCAGGCCCAGAGAAAGCAGCTGCAAAGGCCTGGAGAAAACAATGACCTCACGAGTTGGAGAAACAGAAAAGATGGCAATTTTGCTGGAATTTAGTGAACAAAGAGGCAAGTGGAAGGAGTCAGAATTAAAGAAGTGATTGGGGGCCGGCCAGATCAGATAGGCTAGTAGTTTAAACCCTGTCAGACCAATACCCCCTTTTATAATAAATATTTTGCAGTGTTCCCTTTAATATATTGAAATGAAATTTCCTAGATAATATAAACCTACATGGATATGTAGGAGAGAGATGCAAGATGGCTGATTACTAGCATCTCAGGATTGTAGCTCCCAGTGAAAGCACAGAGAACGAGAGGAGGCCACACTTTCAGATGAATTTTTGTTGCTCATGAACCAGGAGATTCCCAGCAGAGGAGCCCCACGGATTGCCAGCACAACTCTTGTAGCCGGTGCGGCAGTTTTGCCGGCGCCCAGCGTGGTGGTTCTTGGTGTAAACGGGACTGGGTCCCCTTTTGGTCAACGTTTGGAGCTCCGGGAAGGCAGAGTCGCCTATTCAGCTGATTGAAAAAGGGACTCGAGAAGGAAGCCAGACTCGAGATTCCCAGGCAGAAAAGCGCCATAAATCTTAACACTGCTGTTTTAACCAGCGCAGTGGGTTGCTTAGATTCCAGCGCTGGGAATCAGCAAGTTGGACATCCACGCAGAGACCTAATTTGAAAGTCGGTAATTGCAAAGACGACAGGTGGATAAATTTGCAGTGATGGGAAGAAACCAGCGTAAAAAGGCTGAGAATACCCAAAATCAGAATGTCTCTCCTTCTACAGGGGGTCACAGTTCCTCATCAACAAGGGAACAAGACCCGATGGAGAATGAGTGCATTCCAATAACAGAATTAGGCTTCAGAAGGTGGATAATAAGAAACTTCTGTGAGTTAAAAGAACATGTTCTAGCCCACTGTAAAGAAACTAAGAACTTTGAAAAAAGGTTTGACAAAATCCTAAAGAGATAGACAATTTAGAGAGGAATATAAGTGAATTAATGGAACTGAAGTATATGAGAACTCTGTGAAGTATGCACAGGTTTTTTTTTTGTTTTTTTTTAAATTTTTTATTGCATTTTAGGTTTTGGGGTACATGAGCAGAACATGCAAGACAGTTGCGTAGGTACACACATGGCAGTGTGTTTTGCTTCCTTTCTCCCCTTCACCCACATTTGGCATTTCTCCCCAGGCTATCCCTCCCCACCTCC